GGTATTTTCTATCTGTAGGTCTGGAATATAATAAACTACGTCCGTTTACATAAATTTCTTGTAGGCAAAATATTGGCTGCAGTTTTTATCCTATCTTCATGAAACCTGGAATGTATGTTTAAATTAATGAAACCTAGGTCAAGTTCGAGTTTGGTAATAATCTGATGACCGGTTTCAGAGTTATTGTCCTTGACTTTGTAAAACGTGTCAAATATGGCTTGTAGGCACGATAGAGGCTACAGTTTTCATCCGATCTGGGTGAAACTTGGTATGCATGTATATATTAAGATCCCGGTCAAGATCAAGTTTGATAATGATTAGATCAGCAGTTTCGGAGTTATTGCCCTTGACCTTTTAAAAATACGCCAGATTTTGCTTGATAGAGACTACAGTTTCCATCCGATCTTGATGAAACTTGGTATGCATGTATATTTTGATGAAATCTCGGTCAAGTCCTAATTTGGTATTAATCGGATGAACAGTTTCTGAGTTATTGCCCTTGACTTATAAAACGCGTCAAATTTGGCTAGTATGCATGATAGAAGCTACAGTTTTTATCCGATCTTGATGAAATTTGGTATGTATGTATATGCTGGTGCGGTCTCGGTCAGGTTCAAATTTGTAAAGGATCAGATGAATGGTTTCGGAGTGATTGCCCTTGACTTTGTAAAAACGTCAAATTTGGCTCATAGGCTCGACAGAGGCCACCATTGTTATGTGATCTTGGTGAAACTTGGTATGGATGTATATATTGATGAGACCTCAGTCCGGAATTGGTAGCAATCGGATGGACAGTAACAGGGTTATGTCAAATTGATCTTATCTTGGTGAAACTTGGTATGAATGTGTATATTGATGAGGTCTCAGCCAAATTTGAAATTGATTACGATCAGAAATGAAATGTTTTTCGTCCTGTGTGGACGATCGACGCCGTGTCGTGTGCAATCAGGGAATAATCCTATTATTTCTATTTCAATTAGTAAGGGATCCTGAACGTGCACGACCTCTGATTGTTTATTGTCCTTTCCAATGGACTAGAGGATTTTCCCCATATAAATACCAGTAACAAACAATCACTATCAGGTGAATCTGTCCTGGTTTTTCGTTCAGGTAATCAAGGCTCTAGAAGCGTCAAAAAAGATTTTGACCTAGAGTACTGAGAAATTGGAAAAAAATTGCTTCTTTTCCATCTAGACATCCCCGAAATCTACTTATTATATGCTTCAACAAGTGTTCCAAACTTTTGTAACAGTTAAATGTTCCAGAAATAAACAAAAAATGTTTATGCGATGAAACTGTTTGTAATTAAATACTAATTTGTTTGCTTTATAGAGCCTAGCTCAATTTAAATCGAATCGCTGAAGCGTTCAATTGTTTTTGGTCCATAGGAATGCTGACATTCCCTTGACAGACTTTGCTTACAGTTTTGTTTTTTTCTGTTTTGAATATTTTGTAAGAATTTGACAAAACGCAGTTATTCACGCTGACCTGAGAAGAAGCAATATATCCGTGGAGAATTTATTGAATCTTTTGTTGTGTTTAATCAAATGTGAGTTTGCTCAACCATTGCTCTGTATTGTTCCTGGGGAATAAATCTAAAGCAATTTCATTTGAAATAGTTTCATCAACACTGATATTATTTTAATGAGAACTTGCATGATGAAGGAACACCAATCGCAGAATTTGATGAGGTATTCCAACACTCGAAGCTACCATGTTGATTGGAGAATGAGGATAACAATCAGACAATGACAGATGTCAAAGGGTTGGGGCGGCAAAAATATTCCTACTGTCCGGCCGCAATGTTTACAGAATCGCTTTTTCTAATCATTGACCTAGTTTGGTGTTTGGCTTTATAATGGCTCGATATTATTATTTGAAACCTTTAGAATACGTAGGAGACATATTTCTCTCCAATAAGACGTTTATTTTACTCATAGCCGTACAGTAGTTTTCTAACAGCTTCCAAAATGCTCTAGATATTGGTGTACAGTTTTCACAAATTTGAGCAAAAAAAAATTTCGAACTTAAAAAAAAGCGGAATGTCCCTTTAAAATATCAACTCAAAGGAATTATTAAAAGGGTTAGTATTGTATTTAAAATGCCAGCCAGTTAAAAATTATTAAGTGATTTAGTGATGATTTTACACATGAGAATTTTATGTTCTAAATATGGTACATTTTCAGGGAAATTTCTTATTTTTTTATGTTTGTTTATTTCACATGCAAACCTTATTTCTATGGATCTAAATACATTCTTAGATAATCATATTATAGGATTCTTTTTTTTCTCTCAAAACAAGGCAAACTGTCATCAAAAAAATTTACAGCACTCGGTGTACCAAGGCGGTCACCCATCCAAGTACTAACAAAACCCGATGTAGCTTAACTGGTTCTTTCATCGTGGTATGGCCGTAGCTGTAGAAAATATTGTATTGAATATTCGTGAAATGGAAGAAATAAGATTAATTTTCACCATAGTTGCTAGTTAGAATGTAGTCATCCTCTCGTTTGCATTAAAGAAGAGGAAAGGTTTGACTTCCTTTCACTGGCGGTATTTCAATAATGAAGTAATATTATCTTTTTATTCTACTTTAACTCTCATTCTTTCACTTACTCCCATGATCCATCGAGAATTGAATCTAACTGAAATGAACATGCGTCGTTTATGGACACTCTAGACAATCTTTAGCAGAAAATTATAGGAGCAGAAACTATAGCGCTATTGTGTAGTATTTACTAATACTAACTGTTCTAAATCGAGATGGGAATTTATTGTTTCTACATGAATGCTGATTTGGGATATGCATAATAACACAACCTTGGGTTTCCATAATATTCTTAAAGACGACTTAAATCATTTCTGTAATTACAGATAAGCGCTGAAAAGTTAAAGGATGGAACCAGCCCCACATGAAAGAATTAAACTGAAGATTAAAAGAAAGAGTTTTTAAGACAATCTCTTCAGTATCAAAGTTAACTTGTTTTAAGATCATGGTAAGAGTTGAGGATTAATCATCCATTATTCATCCCACGGTCGTTTATTACAATTGACGTTATTAATCCATTTGCCAGAGGATATTACTTATCATTACGATTTTAACCAGTTGATAAATCGTCAAAGTTTAAGTACAGCTTCAAACAAACAAGAGCTCAGCGATAATCCCACATAAAATGACATCAAAAGTTTCTTTAATACGTATTAGGTTGTAAAATTATTAATGCATGCCGAGGTTGTTTGAACTATAGTGACGCCCTCTCTCAATCAATATGAACAAAATTTTACGACATTTGATTATCTTGTGAAATCACGACATGGGTTTCCATTGACGCCATTGGCAATCCAAAAACCTTTAGAAAAGCAGTACTAAGAGCATCATATATGATATACATTCCTCATTTATCGAATTTTAATTGCACAATGGAATACAGAACTTTTATATCAAGGGTGCATAAAGATTCCTAAAGTATAAACACAGTATTCAGAAGAACTTTCGTATTAAAGGGACAAGTGTGGGGACTGATTTGAGTCTGGAATGTAACGTAATTAGTCTTTAGAAGTACTAGAATTATACAATTCGTACAATTCTCTTCAAAAACATCTCAAACTATGAATTTCTTTTCCTATTTCAATAGATGTATCAAAAAAAGACGACTCGTCTTCTTTACTTCCACACGAGTGTAATTTTGGTTCGAATTACGACGGTTGACAGTGAACATTATTACTGATTTGCTTGACTGAAAAATTTATGTTTCTGTGTACTAGGGCTTACACAAGACTGACTGGAATGTAGAACTTCACGTTGTGTATTTTAAATAACTTTATTACAGTGATTTACATAGAGGAAAAGATGGTTACAAATCTCATGCAACGTTGTTGACTGTATGACGGCATGCTAGCAAGTGTCGAAAAGCGTGGCTTTTGTTTAAGTTCGTTTATTGTAGTCTGCGTTGGAGACACCTTAGTGTTGTTGTTAATACATTATATTAGTCCGAGACACCGAACTTTAATTGTCACTTTCTGAAGATTCTACAGTTTCTGAAACTAATGTATGATTGGTAAAGACAATGGCACACCAATCCCTTAAATAATTCCGCAAGAAAAAAAAAAACAAATATTTAATTTAAAGCTTTTATTAGGTATAATTAATTTTTCCGAAATAACACGAAGATATCTTGACATTTAAACATTACAAAGTAGATAATTATTAAATTTTGAACCTTGTCAGATAAGAATTACGTGACAGCTAATACAATCTAATGATTTCTTCGACTTGGTTCACGAAAGTAATTAATATTAATTCATTCTTTTATTCCACCATTCTGATCACAGAAAAACTGGCAATGTGCCACTCACAGCTGGAGCTTATAATGAAATGGAGTTTATATTATTGTTTCATGCTTCCCTATCTCTCAGAAATGTAAGGTTGTATATGCCCATACCGAAACAGTTAGCAAACGACAAATGAAATACATGGGTCAAATTTGAATTTGCCCAATATCTAAAGAAAATGCTTTTTGCCAAATACTAAACAAGGACAAATATATTTCAGAACCTTCTCATAGAAGCATCGCCAGCCTTTGAAACTGTCTTAGGTCTCATCAATTCTCATGTTAAATTATATATGATTAACCTGCTTTATTCACGACCGGGGCAATGGTAATATACGACTTTCATTCTCGTGTTGACATAATATAAACTTGTTGCTTTTTAACGGTAAGCAGTGACATAAAGTTAATGCTTACAATTACGTGCGACTTCATATTATATTATATGCAGTCCAAATATATAATAATGAAAATTTATCAAAGCCAGGTAAACTAACATTTTATTTAGTAGTACTTCTAATTAGTAAGCTACAGGCTAAAGGCTAAAATTTTCGGGCATTTCGTGAAATGGCTGATTTCACAGATTGACTGTAACATATACATCTCAGAATTTATCAAAACTCTCATAAAAGTAACAAAATTTGAATTGCAAGACACAATTTGTTAGACTTGTTATACGTACGATATTTGAAAGTTTAATATTAGTTCTAATCGTTCTATCCAGTCGTCAATATGATCATCATTCATGAATATAAATTTATATTCAACACCATCTTTCGTTTTCATCCATAACTCTTTAGCATCTGATGAATATGGAAAAAAGAATAAAGATGATAATCTCATAAAATTGTGTAAAGCTAATTTTAAAAAGGGGGTCTCGATATTACGACAGGCACAATTACAAAAGCAATTGGACTGCAAGAAACTGATTACACTCGGAGATTCTGATCAATTGTTGAGCAGTTGTCGTCAGGTGATCAAATTTTACTTTCTAACAAAAACTGAACCTTGTCAACCCGAGAAATGTGGCCATCTTACGACGAATCGGATGAGTTGAATAGAAAGTCGACCTGTGCTCGCTTCAACGGTGACTCTTACTGTTTTTTTGTAAACTATGTAAAAAATGAAAAACACTTGATAGAACGTTATAATGTGGTAAGGGCGTCAATTTGTGAACATCTGTACTAACGTACATGTACGTAGGACCTCCTTAGGACTTAAGTGTTATCTGAATATACTAAATTTTTCTAATTTGCTTTGTTGAAAAAATTTGAGAAACATTAAATAGAACGTTACAATGTAATACACCTATACTATAACGTACATGTACGTACGACCTCCTTAACTTAAATGTTATCTAAATATTCTAAATTTGTTTTGTATCAATTTGTTGTTATCGCTCTATTTTTAGTTAACCTCGTTAATTAGTACTCACGAACTGAGAAATTCTACTCGGCACAATTCTCTAAATGTGCACTACTTTCTTTTTTTATGCTTAAGAAACTTCCATTCATTTTGCCCATAGCCCTTCCATCTTTCGAGTGTATATGTATCTATAGAACTATATACCGAAATAAACCAGGAATACTTGAATGTGTGCTCAATAATCAAGATAAATATTTCAAGAATATCTTAAGAATTTAATACTTGAACAAATGAAGTGGTTTTATCTATTTGAGGTGGTCCTTCTGGTAGAACTGTTGTGTTGCTTGTTGTTGATGTCATAATGTACAATTTGTCATTATCTCCTAGCAAATTGGGTATAATTTCTCATAAAAAGTGTCTGCATTGAATCACGATCTTCAAAGTAAAATAAACCCCGTCATTCTTTAGTGACCATTCCCTCATATTGTTTTTGGTCGGATTTGACGATTCAATTGAACCAGAAGTCGTGTTCTTAACATCAAATTAACCAAACACAAATAAGATCTCCAATTAGAAAAAAAATGTTTCTGACAAAGCGACCAGACAATAAAGGCGGTTGTCAATTACACAGATTGACAAAACTTCTATTGGGAATTGTTCAATAATAAATATTGTCTAGTTCTTTATTTTGGAACTTTTAAGTTGTCGAGTTTGTCGTGCTAATTGTCTTAAAATCAATCATCGAATGAATTCCATCAAATGTTAGGGACATTCAGTGATATCTATATACAGTAAGATAAATCTCTATTCAAATATGAAAGTGAACATTAAGAGTACAAGAGAAGCGAACCAAATTATCACATTGATATTGCTGCCTTTCTCTCATTCGAAAACAATATATTTGCTATATGTTTGACCATTTCCTCTTGTTGGTCTCAATGAAACTTGTGTGATTATTGACATTAGATATTTATCTACAGGGCAAAGTACATTTAGTCAGATTTACCAGAATTCATATCATTAATTAAATGAACATTGGATATGGTTTTCAGATCTATGGTATTAACTTCTTTCTTACCACTCTTGGACCATTTCAATACAGAATGTTTATGACCCTCGACTTCAGTTAATAATATCAATACTTCGTCACGGCGTCCATCTATACCCCTACTTTTATGAAGAAATCTACAAAAAGAACTTGTAAAAACATACAAAGACAATTAAAAAGTGTAAATATGACATCGTTTGGATTTCTATTTTCCCCGTCTATTCATCTTTATTACAAATTGAATATAACTAGAGAATCTTATATAAGAATTATATACATTGTCTGAAAATTAGACCACCCATCGTCCAAGTATGACAATAACTTACCAAAAAGATCAATAAATTCCTTATTTTGAAGAATATGGTTCCTTAGTTGATTGATACCGATGTCCGGCCTGCCACTGATGAGTCTCAGGACCTTTGCCAAGTTTTCTAATATAGCATTGGCATCAGTTTGAGAGTATGTGTCAGTGGATGCTTGCAGCTGAAGATACAAAATAGTTCTGTGTTCGTCAAAGAGACATTCTAATGAAGTTTCATGAAACATTCCAATATCTCTAATTTTTCCCTCTGATATAACCTTGTCGGTTTTTCCTTCTGGAATCCTTTGAACCACCTTATGTCGCATGACATTCTTGCGGTCAGATTTATTAAGAATATCACAAATGGCTGTAAAAGGAAATGCAGACATTGATATACATTCTTGTATTAGAACTTTATTTTCCACCAAAAACCTTTCCACGGTCTGGTCGTTCTTGATTGGTATCTTAGCAGTTAATGGTACAAGGTTTGTCATAGACTCCACCAAATTGTCAGCTCCTGTAATTTTCTTTCTGAGGTCTGTTTCAGTCAGAATGGTGACATATTTTGATTTGGAGTGAAAAGATAACATAAGTTGATAAACTGAGATAATGGGACCTATCAACGAGATGTTCTTCTGAGCTGCCATATTTATTATCTTTCCGCTGGTGAATTTTGTAAATGAGAGATATGAATAATGAAATAGTTCACCGGACTTTTTAAGTATAGGTTTGATAGTGATATCAGCGAAGGATGCTTTAGTTATTCCTTTCTTTCGCTTTTTACTCCAAAATTCAGAAAGTGGTGCGAAATTGGACGTTAAGTAACGATCCAAATCGTAAAATGGTTGTCTAGAATGAAGGCAATTAAATTCGGGAACTTCTTTCTTCAAACCAAGTCTTTTAAGGATGGAAATAAAGTTCCTTACAAAAATTTCAACAGCTTTGTAATCGAAACCAATTCTATGAAAAATAAAACGAACAACCAAGTATGGTTCGACAGAAAATGCAAATTTGACAGGAGCTCGTGTTTTCAAATCAAATGTTCTAATTGGTGAAGTGAAACATAGTTGTATCTTTCAGGTTCAGAATGACATGACAATCCAAAGCTTCTTTGATATCCAAAACTTTCCTTCCAACCAATGTATCATTTGTATCTTTTTCTTTAAAGGTCTCGAAGCCGGTGTGACCAATTGGATGAAGGGAGAGAATCAACTTCAATAATTCCACGACTTCTTCCGGAAGTAGTACCAGATCATGGAAGTGCACTTCTTTTGATATCATCAGTGCTTTACTGTCTGGATTTTTAAGATATAAATTATAATAGAAAAATTTCATGGGTGAAAGTCTTCTTTCTTTGTTGTCTAAGTTATCTTCATTTTGAATTGAGTCTCTTCTCTGATTTGTCCTATGTTTAACCTTATTAGAACAGTTTATATATTACCATAAAATCACTTTCGTAAGTATGTGTCGACAAAACCTAGGTTTTATAGTATCTTATGTATTTCTCAAATCTGAAAAACATTATCTAGTGTGTCCTAACAGTCTATACTTCACATCGTTAATAAATCCACAATCGTCGTAGTCATAAAATGTAAAACGTTTACTTCAACTCACTGCGATAAGAAGGGTGCTCAAAAGAGCATTCCTTGGCTCATGCCTGAATATTATTAAACACAAATCACTCGTAATGTATAATATGTTTTACACAGCATTGCTATACGTAACGCCCGAACCTAGCCCAGCAAGTTTTTAGGGTGTTGTTTTCTTTAGATATAGAAATAGAATACATAGAAAATATGAGATAGAGATGAAGAGGTTTCTTGGACCGTAACGTACATTATAGTAGATTATAATTGAGTATAATAAATGCATACGTCAATTATGAATACTGGTACATGTATAGGTATGTTAACGTAAAACATATTATGGGTAATGGGTTTAAACCTTGATATGATATCGGGGCTACAGAGTTTTTGTATTCTCAGAATACCTATAATACGTCCCTTTACCTGCCCTTCGTTTAGTCAAGGCTATAACTCTTCCTTAGATAAAGTGGTTGAAAGATTTCATGTGGCATTGTATTGTTTAGAAATCATACAATGAAGTCACGAGTTTCAGGCTGTGAATAATTGTTCAAATATCGATATACTTTGAGCATCCATCCTTACTGCAGTTTGTCGATCACCACCAATCTACAACGAATTTTTTTTATATATTATTTAGAGAAAGCTAACAATAATTAATTGCGAAATGGAGAAATAAAAAGATAATTAAACGTACATATAATCATTTAGATCAATAACCTTTGGTGCGGATCTGCTTAGCAAATTGAGTTACTTCATAAATACAGGAACCGGGAGAAAGATTGTCTTTAATTCCAATAACAAGACAACATCGACTCTTGTGAGCCACTAGAATACGATCGTCAGACTTTCCTACGAGAGTTGGTTTACCATTGTGAATAAAACACGTACAAAGAAACATATCGTCACTGATTGTAATTTTCGTTAAAGACGGAAAGTGCGTGTTTAGAATGTTCAGAATTATCCATACATCACAGATGGGTATGTTCCAATTTGGTGATTTAGCCAAGATATTTCCATCTTCTTGAAAAATAACAGCTGAATCGACTTTTCCCCGGCTTATTAAATATTGTATTAAAGTTTTCCAGATCATGGTTACACGTACGAATTGTTACCAAATAGTTTTTTAAGGAATTTTGAAGTCATCATTCGTAAATCAAAATGAATTGTTTCTTGAATTCTTCCTCTCCTACAGAGGTTTTGAAAAGTCTGTTTATTCAAATGCAATACATCTACTGAAGTCACGGAAAATTAAATTTCTTCGTGCAAGCTTCTGTGTATATTTTATTCCTCTCTTATTCCGCTGACTCTTCAATAATGGTATCAAAACATCGCTCTAAGGTAAAATATTATTGTTTCGTCACACGTTCTGCTGTCTGAATGTTCTGAAATTGTCATCAGTTTGTTCCTGCACTTTCACGATGTACATTTCGAACTCAAGTCTTATTTAATACTTTTACTGTCTCCACTCACCTAAAAATATAAAATTTCAATGACAGGTACCGTATATAATCCCCATTCAAGCTCACGATTTCACAAACTTGTATATTAAATTACACCCCTCTGCATTATTTGTATGATATAAATGAACACCATAATCTATACTATCGTAAAAGACTTCTATTAATGAAAATGTAAAGAATTTACAGTGATCATTGAAAACCAATTTCTTCCTAACCATGAAGTGAGAAGCTCTTTCCAAAATACACAAAAATACCAAACTGTATACCAAATTAACCATCATTTTTTATCACATTAATTTAGATCGAAAAATTTTATGATCAATTAGTCACAACAAATTTCGGTTTTGTCTAATCAATTAAGATTTTGATTCGCATTTTATAAAATATCGGTAGCAATTCAAAATGTTCCGGTTGAATAATATAATAATAACAAAAAATACTAATATTGTAAGATAAGATAAATAGATCTAGCTATTTCTATGCTTAGTGGTACATAGTACCTTACAGTTTATAGTAACTGCCGTCCGTGGCGTAGTTCACTAGATTTGGTAAAAATTTTCATGAAATATATTACTAGGTAGTATTTGTATAGACGATCACAGATAGCTAATCATAGATTGAATCGCAAAAAGGGTTCTTTGAGCTGCAAACTATGTTTTCACTTAATTTGAACACTGAAGTTAGAAGAACAGACAGGACAGTAGAAAGGGACAAGGAGGGGTTTAAGATACAGTGGAGGGGAAGAACAATAAAGAGGGAAATGAAATTAGAAAGGAAGAAGAAACGTTTGAAAGCATGGAGCAGAAATGGGGAAGCAGATATTATCAGACAGATTTTTGATGTTAGTCAAAGGGCATTCTCTTATATTGAGATATACTCATTGTATCTACGTGCAATGCTTCGAATTACACCAAAGACTTATTATGGGTCGCCGTCTTCTAAGTAGCCTCAATGGTGAAGTAAAATGCATTCCTTCCCTTGAAAGAAAACGTATATTAAGCATTACAAATTAAAAAATATAGCCTATATCATAGTTTGATTCGTATTTCATAACAATTCCGTCGTAATTCAAAGTGTTCCGGTTTTAAATTCCAGACCGATCTCACCTATGACATCTAAAAAGATATAATTATACATTTGATTTTCAGATCGGCATAAAAACACTAACGTTATATCCCTAAACCCCTACCCAACAAACATGTATGTAGAGGTCTATCACTGTAGAATTCTTATACATAACCAGCCCAACCTAATATATAACTATTGCATTAAATTATCTACACTATTAAAACAACGTTTCAACTTCCTTAAAACATACTGAGGGAAATTAATTCATAGATTGGCGTTTGTGGTGACAATATTTGTAAAGAAATTATTTTTTCGGGGTAAGATAATTATTTTAGTAAAAAATAGTATAGGATGTTTAAACGAACAACAGGTTCATGACCTTGCCGATATGAAGGTTGTAACGATATCTGTTTAACTGTATTTACTTGTTATCTCCCTTTAATGCACCTCGCATGCGCACTGTAAAGAAAGTTCTTAATATGTCTCTCTCTAATAAATAGCGTTGTTAAAACTCACTAGTCTTCTCTGGCTCACCAACCTAACTTACACGACAACAACGTTACAAGGGTCAATAAAGTACATAATTTTATTTGTATTATTTGAAAATGCATGTTGCTAATTTGAAAAAGACTCAATGATGTAAATATCTAATAAAAGTTGGAGTGCAAATACTTTTCATTATCCTTCAAGAAAGCAATGGAGATAATCTTGTAGCTTCAAGTCAGTGCTCCATTTATTTGATTGTGGCGATTGATTGCCTCGCCCAGAGTCTTAACACTCATTGCTACAGTTCAAATAATGGATATGTACTTCAATGAATCCACTTTGATCCAGCGATGGCCATGGACGGAATTGGTTAAACAGAATTGTGTCCCTTTATGAAATAATCAGCCACCTTACAACGCAAATTGGATAGTATTGGTGTACTTAGTGATACTTTCCTATAAAAGCACTGGACTTGGCCTGAAATAATGTATATATTACACGACCTGGAGTGTAATCAGACTTTGCACCAGCCGGTGTAGCGTTTTACATTCACCCACCATGGTGTGTATAATTCAAATGTGGTATAAAGCAGCGCCTAAAAGAGTTAAACAGCTTATCCATGCACTGGTGGGAATAATTATTATTAGATGGCAACTAAGTTCCACCTATTTAGGTGTAAAGTCATCAACATTGGATTCATGATCATTTTTTTATACAAGAGCGAGTAAAAAGTTTTTTGGGGTAGATTTACTTTTTGAACGAACAATTTGTTCTGATATCATGAAAGAAGACTTTCACCAATGAAATTTTTCTATTATAATTTATATCTTAAAAATCCAGACAGTAAAGCACTGATGATATCAAAAGAAGTGCACTTCCATGATCTGGTACTACTTCCAGAAGAAGTCGTGGAATTATTGAAGTTGATTCTCTCCCTTCATCCAATTGGTCACATCGAGACATTTAAAGAAAAAGATACAAATGATACATTGGTTGGAAGGAAAATTTTGGATATCAAAGAAGCTTTGTATTGTCATGTCATTCTGAACCTGAAAGATACAACTATGTTTCACTCTTCACCAATTAGCACATTTGATTTGAAAACACGAGCTCCTGTCAAACTTGCATTTTCTGTCGAACCATACTTGGTTGTTCGCTTTATTTTTCATAGAATTGGTTTCGATTACAAAGCTGTTGAAATTTTTGTAAGGAACTTTATTTCCATCCTTAAAAGACTTGGTTTGAAGAAAGAAGTTCCCGAATTTAATTGCCTTCATTCTAGACAACCATTTTACGATTTGGATCGTTACTTAACGTCCAATTTCGCACCACTTTCTGAATTTTGGAGTAAAAAGCTAAAGAAAGGAATAACTAAAGCATCCTTCGCTGATATCACTATCAAACCTATACTTAAAAAGTCCGGTGAACTATTTCATTATTCATATCTCTCATTTACAAAATTCACCAGCGGAAAGATAATAAATATGGCAGCTCAGAAGAACATCTCGTTGATAGGTCCCATTATCTCAGTTTATCAACTTATGTTATCTTTTCACTCCAAATCAAAATATGTCACCATTCTGACTGAAACAGACCTCAGGAAGAAAATTACAGGAGCTGACAATTTGGTGGAGTCTATGACAAACCTTGTACCATTAACTGCTAAGATACCAATCAAGAACGACCAGACCGTGGAAAGGTTTTTGGTGGAAAATGAAGTTCTAATACAAGAATGTATATCAATGTGCATTTCCTTTTACAGTCATTTGTGATATTCTTAAAAAATCTGACCGCAAGAATGTCATGCGACATAAGGTGGTTCAAAGGATTCCAGAAGGAAAAACCGACAAGGTTATATCAGAGGGAAAAATTAGAGATGTTGGAATGTTTCATGAAACTTCATTAGAATGTCTCTTTGACAAACACAGAACTATTTTGTATCTTCAGCTGCAAGCATCCACTGACACATACTCTCAAACTGATGCCAATGCTATATTAGAAAACTTGGCAAAGGTCCTGAGACTCATCAGTGGCAGGCCGGACATCGGTGTCAATCAACTAAGGAATCATATTCTTCAAAATAAGGAATTTATCGATCTTTTTGGTAAGTTTTTATCATAATACTCAGACAAAGTATCTAATTCTTATATAAGATTCTCTAGTTTTATTCAATTTGTAATAAAGATGAATAGACGGGGAAAATAGAAATCCTAACGATGTCATATTTACATTTTTTAATTGCCTTAGGTATGTTTTTTAAAAGTTCTTTTTGTAGATTTCTTCATAAAAGTAGGGGTATAGATGGACGCCGTGACGAAGTATTGATATCATTAACTGAAGACGAAGGTCATAATCATTCTGTATTGAAATGGTCCAAGAGTGGGAAGAAAGAAGTTAATACCATAGATCTGGAAACCATATCCAATGTTCATTTTATTAATGATATCAATTCTGGTGGGTGTAAATCTGAATATATGTAATGTACCCTGTAGATAAATATCTAATGATAATAATCACACAAGTTTCATTGAGACCAACAAGACAATGTGGAAAAGATCAAACACATAGCAGATATAAAGTTTATATCTATATATATATAACATTAAAACAACATTTAAGCGAATTGACGAGCTGATTTATTCGCAGTAGTATTTATCAAAGTAAAGAGTAATTCGAATTATGCGTATCGAATTTGACAAAATGGAAATTACCAATGATAAAAATCTCTTTTCCAAAATGGCCTCTCTGGGCTCAAAGTGACTTTGTCAATAGCGTGAACGACACCATTTGTAGCCGTGTTATCACATTCTGTGACTACTGCGTGATTAAATTGAATGGTACCATGACGTTCTTTGACGGGGAATCTAACACCAGACAGGGTTCTTACACTGGCTACATCAAACCAACTTCTTACCATACTGATACTGGCACAACATACAAATTCTACAATATAAATTATGTATCAGTTGTAGACACGGTTTGGTCATGGGCTTTAATCTCGGTTGGCGTGTGAAATTCTGTTGACCTTGAATAAGTCACCATTCCTCATTCTTCCAATTGACCCAGCTGTAAATGGGTACGGATATCCCGAAAATATCAATGCCTAGCGGTTCAGTCAAGGATCCTTAGTGAACCTTGTAAAAATTGGTTGTTTATTCTTTCCTAATTTCTACTAGGCTATCTAGAGTCAGTTATAGGCGTTGTTTAATTTTGACAATCAATAATATTAACATCTTGATCATGTGGTCAAGGATTCACCATGCTCCATCTGGATTAACGATAACATCTTATTTCACTTGTTGAAAACTACATTGCAGACTGGTCATGGCCAAAGATCTTTCGGTAGCTCTTGTTCCACTATTCAATAAATTTACCTGACATATATTCTCTCCTTTTTTTTGGTCGGTATCAAAAAATAGGGTAAACCTGCAGATAAGACGAACTATTACCTTGAACGATATGGTTTTGTAAAACTTTTTTAAGTACTTCTGGGTTGTCTTCAATTTTTTCCAGGTCTTCTTCATATAAGTCATCAAAAGCCTAAAATAATATTTACCTTTTATAAGAAATTGTTAAAATATTGCATATTCATTGTACTTCAATATTAGCCTATGGTTGTCAACGTGGATTTTGTGACTCGATTACATGTGAATTTACCACTTTTCAGTACCATGTAGGGTTGTCAGTTTTCACAGAAAACGATTCAGAACCCTTCTCATCAATATTATGCAACAGGCTAACATTATTTATTTTGAAGTTTTAAATGGAGAATTCCAAACAAGACAAGAGCATTTTGTAATACGGGTTTTACCTCGTTGGTTGGAGCAAACATGGTAAATGGTCCTTCTTCTTGAAGCATATCAGCTAGTCCAGATTTCTTCATCAAACGTACAAGAGTTGAGAATTTTTTTTTAGATGCCAAATTGTCAACAACATTACCAACTGGTGGTAACAATACCTAGAAGAAGAGTTTTAAAATTATGGCTCAAACTTTGTTCAACTCGATATACGAGAGGACAGGGCTAGTACCGGCACTAAAAGTATTATACAAAAGTTGCAGTAGGTACTATATTATCAATGGTTTATCTCCGTCAATTTATTTAGTTGTTATTTGGACAAAACGTATATTAATTTATCTTGCAATCATTGAGCAATAATTTTACTCGTATATGTTTTATTTTACGGTACACGGTTTTGTAAGAAATATAATCTGAGCCTTACCTCATTTACAATATTAATTACACCATTACAAGCAGGAACATTTTCTTTTATTATCGGTGCACATTGGGCTGTTTGGATAGAATGATGGCGGAAGGGAAACTGAAATAGGAAAGAAAAGATATAGAGACATCAAAAAGAATTTCTATAAAAGAATGACATTGGCAGATCTTAGCTGAACATGTGACAGCGCAATGCCAAAGTGATAAGAAACTATAACTATATATATACACACTGTTGAATATCTGTTCATTCTTATGTTTCTTTCATTCTCTGTGGACAATTTATAATTATTGTGTAATCTGCTACAGGTTACTACTTCTGGTACCACGTGATACATTACGATGTCCTCTACTTTCTTTTTATCTTTCTTCAGTTCTTCTAAAGACACCTTCTCTTCTAATTTCTGTTTTGAAAAAGAAATTGTTGGAACATTATATCAAACTAATGTGAGTATTCCATAAAGGGTTTGTAAAGGGTTTATGATCTTTGTGTCATATAACTAGTAATGACGCAGGTACATAGTATTCGTTCTTAAATGAAATATGGCGTTTTTCTCCCAACAAGCTTCTGTTCAAAAATCCAGTTCAAGAATCAGAAAGTACTTGATTTTAGTAAAATAAAAGTATATAGATATTTTTTTGTATTTTTTGCAACAAAGTTTAGTACCTCAAAAGCATTGTTACTTGGAATAAATAAAGTCAAATTTTCCATCTTAGTGATGCCTTTGAACATTCCGGTTTCCTTCAACAATTCCACAAATTTAGTTAGATTGTTTTTTTCCGCTACATCTATTAATCCCAGAGCTGTAATAAAACAACATACACCTTACAGTTGTCTGAAACATGCTGATTCCCTAATATGTCGACCAGGTTGACTAGATGTCGTTAATATTGTTACCAGAGGCTATAGATAAAATCTCACCTTCATGTCCGTGGACGGTACTATTTAAATGAAATGTTGTCATAATTAAACTATGAAATGTATCCGTATAATAATATATTGATAGTTATTAACACATTATATAGGATTATCTACCTTGATCTGGTACTAAGACATCCTCAATGACGTGAATAACACCATTGGTGGCCATAATATCTCGTCCAACCATCTGAGAACCTTCCACAAACAGTTTATCGTCCTCCGTGCGTGTTAAATTCAGGTATTTATTTAACAAGTTTGTTGTTGTAACAGTGCCTTGGATGACAGTGGAACATATAACACTGGTCAGTAAATGATTCTTCAAAACCTCTACAATATATAATTAATAAAACGTTTGTGTATAGCAATTAAAGTTATTAGCAAGTATATAGATTCAGATGAGTTACATAGACTGACAGGTTGAAAACAAGATGGATACACATACTTCATTTTCGCGACACACCTAAGATCTGGGGCTTTCCAATCCTTTGCAGTTGATATCCAAGTTATCTTTACCACAGCCAAAATTTTCTCAATTGGCTAAATGAACGATTTATATGCAGGCCTCATGAAGATATTTTAGATCTGATCAATAGTGTGCAACTACAACATGAGTAGGATAAGTTACTAGTACACCACCAAAAGAGTCATAACCAGAAATCGCTTGTAATCTGTAGAGAAGAACGACATGAACGCAAATATGTGGCTGACAAACACACAAAATTGGGGTCCCTTGCTATCAGCCCTTCCTGTATGCAGTACAACTTACTTTCTAAACATGACTTTTCGCCTTTAATAAGTCGGTCTCTTATACTTGGTTCAAGCTTCTCAAAAGCTGCGTCAGTAGGAGCAAACAATGTATACTGTCCAGTTCCTCTTAATGCCTTTACTAAATCAGCTCGAGCCAATGCTGGAAAATTGTTAATAAACAATATGTATAAATTGAACGAAAATTAATCAGATCCAATATGTATTCAACTCTTCAAACTCAAATTTTTGTCCCAGGGTTTCGATTTCATAATGATATCAAGATCTAGACTTTTATTAAATCTCCTGAAATTTATTACAGTTAGCAGTAATTGCACTCAACCAGTTAGCAAATGGATAATCTAGGCTACTATATCATGAACTTTATTTCAATGACATAAAGGAAAAGGTCTTAAAATTAGGGTTGTACCTGTTTTCAGATAACTTAGGTTTGGATTTTGGCTGATGATATCGACAATGCTATCCGTTACAGGTTTAATAATCCTGTCTACTGTATGGATGATCCCATTGGTGGCTTGATTATCAGCTGATAGAATACGAGCACAGTTGACAGTTATCAGCTATAAAAGAAAGTATATATAAAATGTTATGAAGGCTTCCCTTGGCTTCAGAAAGACTAGTTTCTATTGGCTAGTGTCGACAATGAGTGTCCAGTCCAAACAAGAAATATACTTTGTACTATTTTCATTTTTATGAAATTCAAAGGCATGTACATAGCAGGTTTTTGTCGATGGTCTATGTATGCCAGTAAACATGTACACAACGGATCTCGTATAAGTTTCAAGTGTCATCAAAAACAATGTAATGGGTATCCTGTATCAGGAAAGAAGCTGTAAATGTTATGTACAGATAACATAGTATACTTGCCTTTCTTTTTCTATTGATGTGTAATAATCTCTGATGATCATGCATAACTAATAAGCTGATCATAGTCCATCAGGGTATTTCCGGAGTTCTACATCATAGTGTAACGTATGTAACAGTCCTTGGAGAGTGCACAGGAAATATGAATTGTTGCTCTAGTACATTACCTCGTTGTATAAGAGGTTACGTGAACGGATGCGATGAATAATAATATGTACTATATGACAAATATGCATTGTTTGTCTCGTGGCCTATTCTTGTTTTGATATCGAACTGCACTGGAACTGTTATCGACGTTGGTACATGTAGGAGATTTGAGAAAAAGCCAAATGAAATTTCTTAACCAAGATCTTGAGCGCAATAGACACGACCGACAGACACAGTCATCAACTAGGGTCAAGTAACGTAAATAGAGCAGAGGTCTTCGATTTGTACATTGTGAGTTATTCTTTTTTCTGCGTAAATCATAGTACATTTCGATGGTTCCTCGTCAGCCCAGCTAAGAAGTGAGCATAGATTTGGATTTCGAAAATTACAATCACAATTATATTTTTTGTGAGTTCTCACCTTTTCGGGTCTTGAGAAAAAATTGACTCTTAGCAAGGAATCAAAAGGACTGGCGGTCTCAATCAGTTGTTCATCATTTAGACCACTTGTTTTAAGGGTATCATAAACCAGATGCCCAAGAAGAACATTGCTCATATCAGCTATGACTAGATCTGTTAAGGGCTTGGAAACCATTACCACTGATGGCATGTCCTGGAATACAAATGTTAGGCTGAAATGTATTCATCTGTAAATAGCCTTCACGTTATATAGCAATAGCTTCAAAAGAGACGAATACATGCATTTGATTTATATATTGTTTTACTATATCACTAGATCATTCTTATTAATAATAATATTTATTTATTTATTATTAAAAATAATACAAGATTTATGGATAAAATTACGTTTTGTAGGCTAAATAAGATTAATGAACCAATGTTTCACTAAAGGGAAAAGACGCTTTACATTATATTTCATCAAGCGTCATTTTGCTCTCAGAAGAGGCTTTGCTGTTTAGACAGCAATTCTTTGTTGTCATATCACTTACCTTGGGTAAAATTGTTTCCAATTCGGGAAGTATATTCTTTTCATCTTCAAAAGCTTTATTTACTGGAGCGAAAACAGTGAAGTTGCCTTTCTCAAGATCATCAGTCAGAGACACACTTTCTGTTGCTCTCAAAAATTCGGTTAAACCGAGATTTCGAGCTGTCTTGACCAAACCATCTAATTTGAACTCTAAAATGAAAGGTAAATGAGCAATTTTACAATTGCAAACAATTTGAAATCAGGAAATCTTTTAATAAATCATTAGTTTTAGCCGAAATAGAATCTTGAGTTGAAAATGTCCAAATGATACAATTTCCAACTGTCGTATCACCATCATTAAACAATGATTGATAAATGATGATAGATTAAATGATGAGGTAATTACCCCCAGGTTGATAATCCCTGTAGTATAGCCTACCTGTTGGACAACCAAACATTTCATCTTTTCTAGTAAAGCCAGGACAACATTCATAAACTTCTGTAACTGTTTTCTGTTTCATAAATATTCCTGTTCTATTAAACATGAATTACAAACAATTATCAAATTTTCTGGAATAACCGTGTATGTTCAAAATACAAATTAAAGAAGATTGAGTCTGAGGACCTTGAAAAAGCTTCATTGTGGCTAATTGTCAAATGTTTTGGTCAAGAACAAATTGGTAGAATAATTGTCTTGAAGATATAATGATGTAGTATGGGTTACTTTTTCTTGATATCAATTGTGATACAATGTCATTGTGCCAAATGCTTCAAACTGGAATCAAAAAGTTAAACATTGTCTGTAAAGACTTGTGACCGATTTGTCGCATTGAAAAAGATATACTTTCTGTTCGAAACATAAACTAACTTGGTTGTACATTTATAGGATGTTTCGGACTGGTCACAAACTTGGTTTTTAAAACTGAAATGTCTGGAAATTGGACCAGTGTCTGAAATACTTGTGTTTTCAATTGACTCTTTCTCATCTTTACAGACATTGGGTCTGAAATAGAAAATATTTATATATAATTAATTAAAAATAATTGTAACAGAAAGGTGGATATGAATCAACATAGCGCACGTTTTTGTGAACCATATTCCACACAGAAGTTGTAGACATATGATACATGACACACAGGTACTCTTAAAAAACATGCTTTGTATACTTATTGCTGGAGGCAACGAAATGAGGTGCAGCTAAGCAGCTTGTATTGTTAACAACAAGAATCTAGAAACAAACACTAAAATTAATTCAGTTGCCCTACTCACCCTTCCCACCAAGGTTTCGGCTCATTTCTGGAATTCCAACCGAAGTCTAACCAAAATTTATCTTCAAAATTAAATCCATATCGCCTGTCCTTTATTCTGAAAAGAGTTATATTGTGAAATAATAAAATTTCATTCTTTATAGCAAAACTCGGAATAGGAAGAAAGTTTTAACAAGTTTCATTTGCACATTCTATTCTTCTTGAAAGGAGCACAAAAAATATAGCATACCTTCTAAAAAGATCATCTAATTCCTCTTCAACTCTAGTTCTGTGATCTTGTCCTGCCCCCCAACCTGAACCCCATCTACCCCATCCATGGCGCTGTCTTGGACGATGATTAGACGGTTTCGTCCCGCGATCTCGTAGTCGGTCAGCAAGTGAACGTCTGCCGGATCGGCCTCTGTACCATCTTCCTCTACTACGTCTGGAACTGGCTATCACAATAATGCTCAGAAGTATTAACAGGAAAATCCATAAATTCCGTGACATCTTAGAACCTTAGAAACTTATTTGGTAGTGTGACATCTACTAATTAAGAGTGACAACAATCCTTGACCTCAGATAAAGGAAGTTTTCAATGTAATATAACATGAGAGTTTCCCAGCTTTATATACCAATAAATTTGCACTTTGGCCTTTGGAGAACCGCTGCTCAAAATATTTTAAGGTTAACATCAAATTCGAAACATATTGGGTTTCTTAGCGTATCAATGAAATTTTGACAGACCTCAGTAGATTGTGACTGACTTTTGCAACTAAAATTGCAAATAAAATGGTAACTGAATTTTTCACTGCTATGTAAATAATCAATGTGCTATTCAGTTATTAACTATATAATTTTATGTATATTACATGCAGAACATATTTGAATGTATTCAGCTTACTGTTCAATTAAGGAACTTCCAAAGATAAGCTTACGCATTTAATTTATGATGCAAAATGGTACTAATAGTCTAACACTACATTTTCCATGCATGATATAAAAGCTAGCTTGATTGTTGATTCAAATTCAGTAAAGGACACACATCCTCTTTAGGACCCTTAAACTTAACTTTCCAAAAAGCTATGCTAAAAAAAAGTTTTAAGTAGTGATCACCATGTGTCAAAAAATGAAATATCTTCTTAAACCACCAATCACAACCGATGTTTCCATCAGCTGAGATACTACCCGCCTAACAGTTTTGCTTTTGTTTTAAAGTGACTTTGAAGCAAGCTATCGTTTTATACGATACTGATTGGGTTAGTGGGGTATTGACTTAGTGAACAAAAACCAGTGGCTAAATTATGAGTGCCTAAAGTATCGTGTTTTATCGTATTGTGCTTAAAAAATGTGTACCTTAATGACTGCTTACCGGGATAATGTGCCTCTCGTGGAATTTGGGGTTGGGTACGATAATGGCTAAAGCCGTCGGTAAAATCGATTGGTTAACCGATAGCGTGAAAATCTTGTGTGGGTTATGATGTAAACTGTTCGTCTACATTAAGTGATACAAAAAGTGGTAAAAAATACGATGGATTTCGTATCTGTAGACATGTTTGTATTTTACGGGATTTGTCCTATTGAATTGTTTATAATGTAGTGAGCTGGTGATCTTGTACAGATGCCAACAACCATATCACATACATTTTCAACAACAGACCTAATAATATAGCAGTTTATTAAAAACATATGACAGTATACCGAGGCGGTCAATGGACTTAAAAGAACATATGGAAACCATAATAAGGCGGACCTAAGGATCTGTGTCAGAAACATTCTAGGGTGAAAGCAATATTGTCAAGCAAACATCCGGCTTCTCTGACGAAGTATATAGTTGATATGAAACATCAAGCGATTCAAATAAAAGGACAAGTAAAACGTAGATTTAACATGAGAAAAAGATTCTTAATTTTTTTCTGGTTTCCGTATAGTCCCTATATGTAACAAAACATTTACACTGATAGCGCCTTCATAAGCATAACACAATTTTCCGTAAGGTAATTGCAATTAAGTGTCTCCGATAAACATGTACAAGGTTTCAAATCTTCTTTTGAATCTCTTTGAAACTAATTCGCCAATCTTATATAAAAATCCAGTCCAAAAATTTATGAGGACGACACAATAGAGGATTTGGGATTGTTATCAAAATGCACCACACGTTTACCTAAAAAACGCAACGATCTAAATTCTACACACAAAATGAAAAAAAAAATGTATTCGCAATACAAAACAATTGAGATGTCGGCTAAACCCTCATTTCTCAGATTAATTCGGAAAGAGAAATTGAGTATCACTTTCGCCCTTGTAAAAAGCCATATCCGTCGACAGGAAAGATACCATGAGTTGTAGTGTCAATAAAATATTCAACCAATCACATCCTTTGAACAGTGAGAACCTATTTTTATTACATTGATAGATGGAATACTGGAGTTATTATTAATGAACTTTGACTTATCAGTTCATCTTAACAGTGAAATGGGACATTTTAGACTTCGATTGTGAAAACTGTGAGTGTCCTATTCAATGAGTCAGCAATATCGTATTCCGATGTTCCATCATTCACATTTCCAATTGAAGCATACAATTTTACATAGCAACAATAATTTGCAAAATACACTTCAGGAAATTACGTTGTTCGGGTTTGAAACAGAAAAGTGCACCATTTTCTGCTTGAGAATTAACAGACGTCATTTCCGGTGATCATTTGAAGTAAAAATTGTGAAAATTTGAACCATATTTCAATATCAATCCTGTCACAGTGTACGTTATAAATTATAACTCTGAAAAATGTGAAAAACAGCATGGACAGTAAGATTATCGTCACCACCGACCGATACGCTTTCTTCCAACGCACACAAAACAGACGTCGAACTTTCAATCGAAATACGAAGAGTTGAATTTGAGATCTATCATCTTGGGAAAGCAAGTCTGAAGTAAAATATTTTGGTCACTTGCCCACCAGCAACGAAAAATCAAGGGGCGCCTAATTCTTCGAGGGGCGCCAAAAGCTCTTTTTTAACACTTGTCATCAAAAGTCCGCAATTGACATAGCAACGCCCCTTTCCTATTTTAGATATTCAAAATATACAAATTTATAAATTTTTCTTTCCTGTCTTCAAAAGGTTAACATACACAAAAGTCCTTTTTTTTTATATTTGTACTTTCTGTGCGTCGCTAAATATATAGCGTATTTGGGAAGCTATAAGATAGTAAGTATATCAAGGAATATTAATTACCTTACATAGACACAGCTTTATGGAAAAACGATCACTGGTTTAAGTTTTATGCAACGTTTCGACTTGTTTCCCCCGTCGTACTCAGGCGCATAATGATAAGAAGTGATGAGCAAACTATATATACATTAATCCTTATTATCAAGAACACATTTAGAACCAGTTATCATTTGATTTTTATGTTCTTCATTATTCTATTTTTTTTTTTTTATTTTGTATGTTTTATATTATGATATTCAGTTTTAGTATATGCATTAGTGCCTGTATTGTACTGTGTACTGTGTACACGTATGTGAAAGGTACACGATAAAAATGAGTGTAATAATAATAATGATAATAATAATAATAATCTTCTGCTTCCATGGTGAAATTCATCCTTTAATGCTGAACATTAAGATGCTGAAGTAGAGCTGAGGGGTTGCTAGCACAACAACTACGCCCAACCTTTGCACATCAAGCTTTTCGATCAGTATTGATGGCAAAACCCACCAACCAACAGCCTGATCCTAACAGACCATTCATTGGAAAGGCATCATACCAATATTGTATTTCCACAAAGCTGTGTCTATATATCGTACTCACAATTGCTGAATGCCATTCAAAGACTTTATTAATTACCTTGTTTTTATTACCATCATGAATGTTATTGTAAACTTGCAATTTAATAGCCACACACATGCAGGTGAAGGCTACATAAATTTACAGAAAACTACAGAATTGTTGTTTTTCAAATAACATCTGTGGCTTGATACCTTTTGTCCGAACAATGACAATGATTTTTTACACTGTTCAGCAGAACTTGAGTTTTGGAGGTGCATTTCCAAAGATAAAGCAAAAGTTTGTCAACTGGCCAACATCTCGATGCAGATGAAGTTGCGAGTATTGAATTGATGAAGACACTGAACACATAGACAACTAGTTACTAGGAAGCTCTTCGACAGCTGAATGCACCTTTTCTGCCCCGAAACGAGTCAAATCTCGAATACTTCCTAAGCAGCTATGACGGGTGTGGCACCAGACAAGGTATGCTGGACACCTGATACCACATTATAAAATACTTCCTCACTTATGATTGATGTACTTCAATAGCTGCTTCTAATGTTTCGCCAATATCGTGTATGTTGTTTGGTTTATTTACCCTCCATGGTGCAAGAACGGTTAGAGGGATTGCCGCTGATGACATATGAGCGGCAGATTTGCTGGTCGCCGGCAAACGTGAAGAAAACGCTAGAAAAAGTCCCGTAAAATTAAAAATTTTATATCAGTCGCTATCAACCTGCGACAAATGCGAACATATTACGTTCCCTATGCGCGTTTTTTCTATTACAATCTATTGGCTTGGTGTACTTACAGTACAGTATCTGATGCTCCTGAGCTCTGAGCTAATTTTCAGAAAGGGCGCCTTTCCGGTGTGACGAAAGTGTCCAAAGCTCTTATTCAAACACTGACTTGGCGATATACCATAAGTAGTATAAGTTAGAAGTTATTTTTCGAATCTTACATTATTGACTAACATATGTTTAAATTGTGTTCAAATTGTACAAAAGGCGCAGTTGTATAGGGGGCACCAAAACGATTTCTTCCCTCCCAGCCAATTTGCAGCCACCACGCCACTGAAACCAAATACATAATAGAAAATGGCAGCAGCAGGAGGCAGGTCAAAAACTGATCGCCGGGCCTTTCTGTACGGTCACAATTGGTCGAACTGGTGACAAATTTGCGCGTAGCTCAGGTGAGAATCTGTCTCGAAAAAAGACCGAAAATTGAGTATACAGATCGTAAAACGTTATCTAAATCGTGTCGAGGGTACAACTCGTAGCTAGATCGGCAAATGTTGAGCCTTGGTCGTGTCGATCTACGCAAGTAATGGGTTAGGTTGCACGGATTTTGCCTGCTACCACGGGAAAACACAGCTGCGATCATAGTCGCGAGTAGTCGCGTGTGGTTTTTCCAGGTCGTACTCGGTGAAATGACTTCTGTTGAGAAGCACTGCTGTAGAGAGTCAAGTTTACCAGGGATATTAGAAAAACCTGTCCCCGTCACACCGGGAATGCGTCCCCCCTGCAGTACAACAAAGTAACAAAGACGCTGCAAACACGCTATGAACTCAATATCGTCGCATAACTCGCAGTATGCAATTTTTATTGACACTTTCCCTAGTTTTCCACACGTTTGACCGCGATCTACTACCTTTCAGTCGCCGTTAGATCGCAAATGGTCGCAGTCCGGTGTGACGGGGCTATATTAGAGTTAGATTTGGGTCATGATATAACATCGTTTCCTCTCTAAATGTTTATTTATATTAAACATAGATCACTATATTTATAAGTTGTATACAAGGGAATATAAGTGTTGAATAATAGCGCTCTTTAACTATTTAACTTTTTATTATTTAATTTTTGGCTATGATGAGTGAGGTTGCAGCGTACTGGAGTTTATAACAGGTTAGTTTTACGTCATTATTGTGGATGAATACATAAAAACGTAGGCTTCGATCGTGATAACAAAAGTTTTCTTTTACCCGAAACATTGGCGAAGTAAAGATTCATTGTGTAATCGGTTACATTTTTGCCAGGTTTACGTAGGCCCTAATTGATTTCATGACTAAAAATGCATTTACACAGAAAGGGAAATTTGAAAGGTGTGTCAGAATTAAAGCTTTTGGAGGGTGTCGTTTTCTAATGGTATCGGGAAATATAAAAGAGGCCTGAATTTCAAGGGATTGCACTTAAAATGTTTGTTAATTCGATAGTGTTCCCGGGCTTATAAAAAATATCCATCAGCTATATATATATATAATAGTTGAACAATAACATGAACATACTATGAAGCTCGCAACCTCATAAGCTTCACCATCCCATATAGATCACAGACACGTGTATCCCAACAGATCGGACCCTACCATTTCCTCCGACGCGGTGTGCGGATGTGATTACGCCACTGGTAAGTAAAGGCACAATTCTTGATGGATTTTGACGAAACTTAGTATGAGTGTTAGTAATCACTCAAGGATCGAACCCTATCGAAAATCAGAAGAATTGAAATATATTTAGGTTGAGTTATTGCCCTTGTTCTCAAAAACGCGTTCAAGTTTTAGCCTTGGACTTTTTCTTGTGCCAAATTAATTTAGCATAGCCTTGTAATTCGTAGTCTACAGCACAATCAGCAATAGTGGCTGGATGGTAAACAATACCAAATGTCAATGGGAGATGGTCGGATTCTGTTCTAAGCTCGACAGTGAAGTCTTCTATTACTTCAAAGAGTTTTGATGATACGATAAGGTAGACGACAACGCTTGCACCGTTATATTTTATGCACGTGAATTCACTTTGTTTATCATGGGTGGATGTACTGTTAACAACATGTATCATTAAAGAGGCACAAGGAGATATTAACGACCTTTTCAAGATGTAGTAACCAAAAATTTCGGAGAATTTCATAGTAATTTTTGCGCAGAACTTGCACAAAGCACCGAAAATATTTTCTTTCTTTTATAAAAAGGTGTAATAGCTCCCTCGACAAATGATGTAAATATCAATATCCAATATCAGTTCAACCCCCATGGTTTGATCATGAATGTCTCGGAACAAAAATCTGTTTAATACGACAGTCTTAACAAATTTAGAAGTGATAATTCGTACCTATCTTTGAAAACTTACAAATACGAAAGAAACAAATTCAAAGATAGCTTGCCAGGCAAGGTAACATACGCCCACTACCAGCTGTCAGAATGATAACAAAATCTTTAGTGGCTTAATAATAAATTTTCAAATAATCATCCATAAGTCAAGGCAAGTTATCATGAAATTCAAACATGAACAATGTCTCATCGCTGTACACACAAGGGCAATAACTCGGAAACTGTTGATTCGATTATTACCAATTTCTAACTTGACCGAGATCTCATCATGCATATCTAGTTTCATCAAGATTGGATAAAAACTGTAGTCTCTATCGTGCCTACAAGCCGAATTTGACAAGTTTTTACAAAGTCAAGGGCAATAACTCCGAAACCCTTCATCCGATTGTTACCAATTACGAAATAGAGTGAGATCTCACCAATATATACATGCATACTTAGTTTCATCTAGGTTGGATAAAAACTGTAGTTTCTATCGTGCCTACAATCGAAATTTGATTCGTTTTTACTAAGTCAAAGGCAATAACGCTGAAACCGTTCATCCGATTAATACCAATTTCGAACTTGACCAAGATCTCATCAATATATACATGAATACCAAGTTTCATCAAGATCGGATAAAAACTGTAGCCTCTATTGCGCCTATAAGAAATGTGAACGGACGGACGGACGGACGGGGACCGACCGACGGCAATATACGTCCACATTTCCACGTGGGCGTGTAAAAATCTTTGTGATTACAAAAAGAAACAATATACTAACTCATTGTACAATAATCTCTTGGCTGATATTGAAAATACAAAAACTTTTTGGCAGACACTAAAACACGCCAAACCAAAGTTATCGGTTATAGTGGGAATAAGTTGGTGAAGTTGCTGACATATTAAATAATGATATACCTCATGATGAGAATACTTCAGAACCCGACAGTATAAAGCGTCCTATCCTTGAGTCTGAAGTTCTTAAATGTTTAAAACAAATGAAACCAGGCACGTCTCCAGGGCCCGATGAGATGGGCATCGATCTTTTACGATCATGTCCGGAAATATTATCTAGCACCCTGGGTCTATTATTTAATGAGATATTTGAGTCAGGTTCGTACCCTACGATGTGGACAAAGGCCCTCATTGTACCATTGTTGAAGAAAGGGTCCAAGGCAGTCCCAAATAGTTACAGGGGGATATCTCTTTTGGATTGCCTTGGGAAACTTTACTCAACAATTCTAAATGAGCACCTAAAAAGAATTGTCAGATTCGAATAATGGATACCACGAGGCTCAGGCTGATTACAGGTCTTTCTATTCGACCATTGATCAGGTTTTTACATTGTATGACCTTGCGCAAAAAGGGGGGAAGGTTTTATGTACTTTTCGTTGATTTTTCCAAAGTATACGATTTTTTGAATATAGGGAAATTATTATCACTCTTACTGAAAAAGGGTATTAAAAGAAATATGTATAAAGCTCTCAAAGGTATGTACCATTCGGTATCGTCCAGTGTCAAATTATCTAACGGTATAACAGAATCTTGACAGGGAGTTGGACAGGGAAGTGTTTTGAGCCCCATTATTTTCTGTTTCTATATAATTAATTTGTAGCTTGAAACAGATAATGTTCGAGGCATATTTACAATTCAAGAGTCTCGGATATTTTGGCACTCCTTTATGCCGATGACTTAAGCTTGGTATCGGATAGAGTAGGGGATCTCCAAAAGAAGATATTGTATTTTCTTGGGGCTACCAATATAGGCCCGATATAGAAAAAGTTCATATAAATTATTGTAAATTTGTTTTAGGGGTTCACAAGTCTTCTACAAATGCAGGCATTTTGGGTGAGTGGGGCCGATATGATATGAGTTTATGTTATATCTGCTATTCCATCAAATATTTCTGTAAGCTTGTGAATATGGCCTTAAAGCAGGCTTTCCTAATGTTGAAGAAATTGGACGAACCCGGTGGAATCACTTGGGTATCAAATATTAGATTGCTTTTGTTCTCTCTTGGTTTCGGCTATGTATTTCACGTGGATAGGAGACATAAATAGTTTTATGCTTGGTATCAAACAACGTCTGAAAGATATAAACCTCCAATAATGGTCAAATAAGTTGTCTTTGTGTGATAGCTGCACCGTGGTAAATATTTGGGCACTCTCTCCTGAAATGTCCACTTTGCCCGCATGCAAAACAACATCCTCCGACGACTCCATTACCGAAACTGCTTCCTGTACCTTGCCCATTGTAGGCACGAAAGGAATTCATTTTTCCAAATCCAAATTGACCTTGGGTGAACTGTTGACCAGGTAAAGAAAAATTAGATACATTAGATTTTTTAGATTTACCAGTATTCCCCTTTTTTTTCTTCCTCTTCCCCAAAGCCCTGCCCTCTGCCTTAAGAATCCGTGATTCATCCTCTGAATCACTAGCCAATGGATATGCCTCATACTGCTTGACGGTGTCCCAACCACCTTCCGAAGAATCTGCTATGCGTATATGCTTATTACGAGTATGCAATTTTTCCCGTGAAACCTTCATCAATTCTTCTACATAATCAAATTTCTTGTTTTCTATAGCCCAACTAATCTGCCTCAAATTTTCATCCAATTCAGAATTAAAATTGTATTGAATCTTATTACCTTCATATTTCCAAGTTATATCCGTGTCCGTTTTCAACTTTTTCTGACACGGAATTCCCCCGCACCTCACTGCGTAATGATAACAGGTCCTCCTTCTGGCTTCTGATCTCATTTACCAACTGCATCAATGTATTCTTGATATCTGAATCTGGCGCCCCATCCATGATTCAAAATCGCCAGTCAACAAAAATATCAGAGCAAATAAACTCCGTGTGCTACCAGCCGCTTGGTCACTTCGCTGAATGACCAAACAAACACTTTACTGTCCTTAGTAACTTCTAATTAATAATACTCAATATTACTCATACTTCACTCACAATTAACAATAGTTATCTCCCTTCATGGGAAATTAATTTCTGTCTAATTCGTACCTCAAACGACAAACAATTATATTTTTTCTGATTTTCAATAGGGTTCATCCTTGGGTGATAACAAACAACAATACCAAGTTTCGTTGAAATCGGTCAAGAATTGTGCCTTGTAGAGTGTTTACAAGCAATTGTCGACGGACGGACAGACGGACATGGGTGACGGAAATATATATTTCATGTGGGCGTATAAAAATGGTGTTTTGGGTTTTTTGGGGAAATCAATGAACTCCCGCTATTCTCGTTAAAATGTCTAAAACTTGGCTATCGACATCAATTGGTTCAGCAACGTCTCTTTTCATCGTGCTTATTAAAAGGAGTAAAGGAGTAATTGGTGTCTTAATTAGATCAATCTATATAAGTCGTCTAAGACACATAGACTAGATTTCATTGCATAGTGGTAGGCCTAATATTCTATCCAAAGATATTCAAGAACCTAAGCAACATGGATCATCAATCATTACGCCTTATCAGAACAAAAAAGGGGAACAAATATATTTAGCTTTTAGTTGTATCATCATCACTATAGAACTTATTTATTATGTCATATTAATACAACCCTTTTGTTCACTAGAGTAACGACAGAAAATAAATATATATCTCTGTCTATACTCTAGCTCTATATAATGTGATAATACTATATTATAAAAATCTAGCTTAATTCTCACTTTTTTTCTCTAATAAAACACGCCTATATTTGATAAACGAGAGGGCAATACTGAGTAACATTTTACTATTTATTCTTTCCCCAGGCATAAAAAAAAAATTAAAAACAAAATATGTATTTTCACCTAAGATAGTGACATCGGTAGTATAAATGAAGACCCCTATCTATTTCAGAGTATCAATGTACCAGTTTCAGCTAAATCTATGAGCTTACACATAGGTAGGTAGATGACAAGTTAACGTTCGCTTCCAGCTGATGCTGATATCGCAAACTAGGTAGTTGTTGGTAGTCGTAGTAGTTGGTAGTTGGATTGGATCAAATTGGATGATTCGGTGTTGTTGGTTTGGTTGTTGATTAGCTTACACGTTGGGACCTGACATTTAAGTAGTAGGCTTAGGCCTGTCTTGTAAAGAATTAAAGTGATACTACGTCTTAGAATACACTCGTCCTGTGGCTAATATTTGTGTTTAATAGTGACCATTGGTTAAATAAGTATGCATAAATCGACAATAAAACTATAATCATAATTTTAAAAAAAAGTGAGCAAGCCATGAATCCGTTCAGTTTGAGAAAAAAAGAGTCTGGGTAATCAACGCTAAAACATGAAACAATCATCTTCCGGTGTATACAAACAAACTTTGCCAATGATTAATATTCGTTGAAAATTGTGTCAGTGGTGGAGTATTCATTCTAAATTATATGAATTGCTTTTTCGCGGAGTCGCTAAATCTCCTACGAGGCATCATTATTCCGTCTTCAAAATATGACAAGGACGCGGGAAGCCCCACTTGAGAGTTACTTCCCCTTGAAAATTACACCGGATTTCCTAGACTCGCGATTTGAAAATCGCTTAATGGGTGTATTAAGCGTTTTATAATCAATTACTTGATTTTGTGGATATATCGGATTATAGGGGGATTTTGATGTATAGTTAGGACACCAGGTGAGTCCACTGATGGATATATACTGTTATTGTCTAAATTTGAGCAAAATTAAAATTTTATGTTCATCCTAAGACGTAGTATCCCTTTAAGTCATAAAGAGCATGATTCACATTATTATGGTTCTTTTTCTCATACGTAAAAAATTGTGTGTTCAATAATATAGTCTTCAAAACTTTGATGCTAGGGGCGGGCATCGGTCTATAAGTTTTAATTGTACAGTTAAAGTTTGGGCTCAGTTGTGAAAAGGTTTTAATGATTAGCCAAATAAAGAATTTATTATTATTATTATTTATATCATAACTGAAGTGAGGACTTAATAAGTCGTGGTCTGAATCCACATTTACATCCGCTAGTCCTTGACGCCCAGGCTATGATAAAATAGATCATACCAGTACCGTCCGTCGAAGCTGCGCGAAAGCAAAGAAAGACTGGATGATCGAGACTACAGCATTTCCCCGAAATATTTAAAAATAGAAATAAAATTTCATCCTGTTGGAGTAAAAATGAAGAAACCTAGGATTAAAGGTCTGTAATTTTCAAAATAATTCCTTATATCAACTGGCACTAATGTTTTCATTTCTCATCTGAATAAAATGGAGGTTGTCAAATTAAAAGAAAGCGAATAAAACATGTTTTGTTTAAATATAATAAGGCAGTCAGGAGTTATAACAGCGACGTGTAAGTACATAAGGCTTTTGACAACCGAATTTACTGTTTACTGCCTTTAAAGGGATACTACGTCTTTGAATAATCATAAAATTTAAAAATTTTAAACTTGGCCAAAAAGTGTATATATTCATCAGTAGATATACGGGTGTGATAAATAACATAACAGGATCCTTATATAATCCGATAAATCCGAAAAAACTTAACAAAAATGCAATAAACTATTATGATTAAGCGTTTTTCAATAATTACCGGTACTTAGTTTTATGAATTTTCTAATTTTCTAGATTTTACAGGGAACTCTATGACACCAGGTAAGTTCACTCATGAATATATACTCATATTGACCATTCTTGAGAATTAAATTTTATGTTCATTCTAAGACGTAGGATCACTTTAAATATATTAACCCCACTTCATTTCTAACAAATGAAGAAATATAGTTTCTATACAATTTTGCTCCAAAATATGACTTGATTGGGTCTTTCTCGAGTAGTATGGTTCCATTGTCAATGGCATTGATATGTATGATGTATGATATATCGAAATTTACCCTAAATATTGTAAATCGCTATGTTCCCAGGTTACAAAAAAAAAGATGATACCCTGCTCAAAAAAGACCCTATCAGCCAAAATATGTGTCAGAAGGCACCAAATCAATTCTGTTTTTCAAAAAATTGTGGAGAACCCTTTTACATACTCAGTTGGAGGCTCTGCATGTTTTCACAGAGCTGTTTGAGCGTTTTGAATTTCATCCTTGACAGTTGTCCCCCTTTTGTACCCTCAGTCCCCAGTACCCCTGTGTAGATTGATATAAATACAACAATGTGCGGGCTGGGTTATTGATCAGAAACGCTGTCAATTAAATGTAGCTCATTTTCAAGTGTAATTTCTGGGAAGGTGATGTGTTAAATTCAAGCTATAAATTTCCAAACAATTTTTTTCTATACTTGACCATGGACAGGCCTTGCTCTTAGTTTGGATAACCCTTATGTTTTTATAAACAAATTCTTGTGTCTTTGCAATTTTAACTGTCTTACTATTGTTACAACACAGTAATCTTCGATCCTTAATAGTGCACTGGTTAAATAACCCTCTATAGGACTTGAATTGTTTGACCTAAAAACAGTCTTGATATGGGCTAGCTATAAATAATCCCTTTATAACCTGCAGTTATGTTCATTGAAATCTTTTTACAACTGAAATAACATTGCATATTAATTCACTTTGAACTCAACATATGGATAAGATTAAATGGCTGTTTATTACTCTTGTTTAATAGTTAAATAGTGCAGTCGTCGCCTATTTTGTGTATCAAAATATTTTTAGAGCTTGTTGACCTGAAACCACGACATATCTTTCAGATTGAAATAATGATGAAATTTTCTTGTAAAGTGCCAGAGCCCTGTTTTTCAAAATATCGTAGATTAACGTACAAGCATAAATGTTAAATTAATGATTTGATAACGTCAAAAATAACGTTTGTGGAGAAACAGAGTCCAGGGGTGTACCACCTTGGTATTTGCCGCATTACAAATGAATCCATTGTGTGCAAAATCAGGTATTTATTCTGAAGAGTTCTTCAAGAATCAAAAACTGAGCTTTGAGAATTAATATCCAGGTATGTATCCGAATGTCTTTGATATCTATTATCTGTTATTTTATATTAGGTAGAGAAGGCAGTATGTAAACATGAATAGTCTATGTCTTAGTGTAGAATAGAATCAACATGAAACCAAAGATTTGTAGACATTTGATAGTTGTATTTCTGTACCTGTGTTGTTTTCCTGATTTTGTATCTGCAAAACTAGGTATGTAGGAAACTATAAAGGCAAATAGAAGATGGAAAAGTTTGATCGATAGATTAGCTTCATGCTAATAATTTATTCAATTTATTTTATGCTTGAATGAGTGAGTTTATAGCAGATATTTGACGGACTTTTAAAGTTTTTCTTACCTCGTGGATTTTGTCAGCTTTTGGACATTGAATTATGGATCAAGATTCAAAAAAGTCCATGTCATTTTCCCCTTTTGAAGATTACAAACTATGATTGTGTAAGAATCTTTCTCACATCAATATTCTTGAAAACCAGATCACAATCTTAGACTAGGTTGAAGAGTAGATAGTTACAAATGTTTAAGTAAATTTATTTGACCATCATGTTTTTTTTCTATTTACAGTAGTAGAATTAAAGCCTGATAACCCATTTGTATATATCGGGGATATATTAGAGCTGAACTGCACCGCGTCTGATGCTGTAGCAGACCTTCTGGTATTCCATCGTGGTAATTTTCGCATAGACAGCAAATTTCTTCAGAAGCTCAATAACTCTACTATCCAAGCAAGCTTACCAATAACAGAAGAGGATAAAGATATAAGAACATATATTTGTGAATTTGATAATTTTTCGCTTTATAGTGTTCAAAATTTGAAAATAGAATGTGAGTATTTTAAATCTTTCTTTTCATTCAGTCTTTCCCCGCTGTTTGGCGCTAATGTATACTAATGTGGAGTTTTGGGCTTCAATGTGATGGAAGTTGGAAATGTATGTAGAAAAATGTCTCTTTCATTATGCTCACTGATTTCTCATTTCTCATTGATATGAGCTGCCATATTAAAAATTAGAATGCCTTGAAATTAAATTTCAGATAAACCAAGGCCTGTAGAAAATTTAACATGTCAAATTTACAATTGGGAAACTTTAACATGTACATGGGATTTAGGACCTTATATAAAATTGGAAGAAATGCATGTATCTGTAGCTTGGGAACATTCTATGATGTAAGTATAAGTGATTCCATGTTCAATGTGAAAAACTTCTGTTATACATTGTATTCCACAACATGTAAAAAAAAAAGAAAAAAAGTCATAAAAAATCTATGATACATGTATTTTCTCTGACCAAGGACATTGTACAAAAAACATGAGATTTCAGCATTTGTCAATGTTCTGTGAAGTTAAACTAGCAATGGCTACAATATGTCCAAATTTGACATATTCCCTCCAGGATGGAACTATTTGGGATACTTTTTTCTTACAGGTATGGCAATTTTACTGTAGAAAATGATAAATCAAAATTCCATCATGACTTTAGGTTTTATAGTTATAATTTCACTATAACTGTAAGTCATAAACAAACTGGTGAACAAGATGTGTCTGTTAATAAAACTTATGACATGCCTAAAATTGAAGGTAATTCAATATATTTTGATTTCTAAAACAGTATTGAAATGTTAGACAGTATCTAGGAAGAATAAAGTTGTTGGAACAACCGTGTCCATACTTATAGAATTTTTATGAATTTCATATGTGTATACAAAACAACTGTATGTAGAAAAATGTGGATTGGTTGGCTTGATGATCACATGACATGAATATTCATTACTTCAGCCCCTAACACAAAGTTTACCTCCCTATGTAATAGTTTATAGATAGTGAAGATAATGTGGATAATGTACATCCATGCATTCAGCTTACTACTTATAGTTTGAATCTATTATACTTAGGGAAAAAACAATTTTCATGTTCTGTAGATAATGTATTCTCAGGTTACAACTTAAAGTATGTGGGTTTTTTTCCAACAGTTAAACCGGCTGCAGTAAATAAATTACTAATTATATCAGAAGAAAATCAGTGTGTTATTTTAAAGTTTGAACATGATTTGTATCACAGTAATGCTGATGTTGATTGGAAAAATGAAAGAGAACTAAAAATTAGAGTAACATATAGCTCTAAATGGGAACTGCAACCTTGGGTAAGCGTATCTCTACACTTTGTATACTGGACAGATACTAACTTAGGAATTGATACCCTTAACTATGTTTTCTCGTTTTAAAGTATTATTACTGCAAGTAACATTTGATTAATGATTCACTAGTAAGGAACTTATTGTAGCCCTGAAAATAATCATACAATGATGATAGAAGTTATTAAATTGATCAGAATGTGTTTGATTAAATGGCATTATCTCCATAATCATAAAAAGAAGCATCTTTGCTATCCCTTTAACCACAAATATTCATATCACAATTGGGACCAATATAATGAATAAAGAATACCACATATATGTATATTCATTCTAACCAATATTGACAATTACACTCAAGTAGGCCATAAAATATGTGTTTTGATTTAGGTTGTTGACAAGCTTATGAAAGAAGATAGCATGACAGTGTGTAATGTTCATCCCTATTCCAAATATAAATTTGATGTTGATGTTTTGCCCATAAAAAGGCATGGTGTTTGGAGTGATATAAAATCTGTAGAATACACAACCAACCCAACAGGTATATATACACCATCAGATTCTTCATTAGTTTGTTTCAACTTATTAGACTCTTCATTTGTCTCAAGACATGTCGGGATGAAATTCCAAAGTTGGTCAAAAAAGAGCCAGCTTCCCATTGTCAGTAATGCAGGTCAGAGGTCCAATCTAGTCATTTGATGGGATACAAACTTAATGAATGCTTGATAGAAATCTCTACACAGTAAGAATTTAAAAGAGAGTTGGAGAAATAAATTACAATCATTGCATATTTTATGACCTTGTCTGACATTTATTAGCCCAATTAATTTGTTTGAATGGGGGAATTGAGCTCCTAATTCATTTTATTTTCTTTGTCTACCAAACTTTGTGACTGGACGGTGGTGTCTTGTTTTCTAGTGCCTGGTTCTGGTCCAAAAACAACCAATGGTAGTTATTATCAAGGACTCTGTGTAAATAATGAACGAAAGGTCACACTTTTTATTCAGGTAAATTCTTCTCAAAGGTATTAAAATAGACACAATTGAATATGGTCAGTTAATAATGTCATTGAAAACTTTAGATGGCTGTGATTAATAATCATTAGTCCCTGGTAAAGCATCCATTTCCACAATTGTCACTGCATTTGACATTCTCCTCGACATTGAGCAAGTAAACAAGTTGAAAACCAAATATATGGAATATGTCGCTAATTTGCAAAACAGTGGGAATAGTATAACAATTATTAACTGAAATTCTTACATCAAAATGTTTGGCAGACAATGTGACAAACAAAAATTTCTATTGGCTATGTAATCATTATTATTGATGCAATAAATTTTGTGCATTTTATAGGCCGTCCAATTCATTAATTTCAGTTCGCATGTAATATACTAAAATAGACAAATTGCTGTGGAAAAGTAGAATTCCATGTCTTTGGCAGTATATTTTTAAAGTCAGCTAAATGTTGGTGTTCAGTAAAGTTATTGAAATTATTTATTACAGCATATTGCTGAAAGGTTAACTCATGGAATCATGGACAAATACACTGCTGTTTATACACCTATATCCTCTGGGCAACAATTGACTGAAAGTGTACCGAGTACTGCATTTGTCTTGGATTATAGTTTAAAATGTTCAACTGATTATTTAGTAGAATTAAAAGCTACCAACAGTTTTGGTACATCTACAAATAATACATTTATATATATACCTAAACTACAAGGTAAGTCAATTGACTTTCTATCCCAAGGGTGATGATAACTAATTGAGTTTAGCTGTATCATAAAAGATCTCTTGACGGTTGGAAATTGAAAAAATTGTAGGCTAATGTCATTGTCTTCGTCAAATTTCCCTTATTGCATAGTATTGCCCGTATTCATTAGTTCAGTCAGGTGCAAAAAGCAGGATGTATAATTTCATTACTGATATTCACATATATTTCTTTTAACTCAAGTTACGTAGATTTGCCATTTTTAATGCATGAAAAAAATACCATGGAACAATTCTTATTGCTTCAATGCTAAATGAACATTGTCAGAAGTAGCAGACAGCCTTCTCACAATAAAGTTTTGACAGAAAACTATTATATGAAAATGTTCACATTATTTAGAGCTCGCACCTTTTGAAAGTGATGCCAGACTATTAGTCAATGTATTTAAAGAAACTAATACAAGTGATAAAAATGTTGTTGCTAAATGGATTGGATTTAAATCTCAACCACTTTATTATAAATTATTCTGGTGTCAGAGTTCATCTATTAGATGTGAGGTAAGCTATATCTTGTCTATATAAACAGATATCAGATCATAAGGTGAAAGGGTGTCAGTTGGTTAGTAAGCATATTAGTTGATATATTTCAATCAATTGATTTTGTATGCAAAGTCATTTTGAACCAGGAAAGTCCTCTGATAAATATATACTCTATTTGGCCAAGTTTGGAAATTCTAAGAGGTAGTAACAAAAAGATACTAGAACCACTGGTGCCAATTTTCTAGGGAATCTGATAAAATCAACCTTCTACGTTCAATAGGTCACATGCTAAAGCAGTCAAAAGTTGTGAAAAATTCTCTTTTTGGAAGGTTGTGTAAGTAGATCTCAGACATCAAATCTGAAAGAATCAACAGAAAAAATTTGAATTAGAAAGTTGAAACAACTGTTCTTTTAACTGGCCAAATGGAAAGTTTCTTTTTGAACATATATATTCTATGTGAGTTATTCCCCTGCTTCAAAATGAGTAAATTAACCCGGATGTGCCAGTTTTGACATAGGTCAATTAATATTCAAAATGTCTGGTTGTGTTCCAAATTTCAAGTTTCTACACCAAATAGGTCATAGGATAGACATATACTAAGCCCAAAGAGGCCAAAATGTTGTAAAAAACACTCAAATTTCAAAAATCACCAATTTAAATTTTGCTTTAAAAAGCAATTGTTATATATCACTGGAAAGAGCATGAGAAGCACATTAAGATTCAAAAAAAAAAATAACCCTTTAGGTTTATTAGATCACGTGCTAGAGCAGTCCAAAGTTGTGAATTTGGCTGTTTTCGGCGAGATGTCGGCAGTAAAAAATGTAAAAGTATCAACTGATAGCCATGGTCAATGACCTTTGACTCAATGAAGGTCAAGGTCATCAAAGGTCAAGGTCATGAGCCTTCAAATTTCGAAACAATTCAGCTGGAAATTGCAAAAAAGCACAAGCGAAATTCAAAATTCGACTTCCTAATTTTTGTTGGCAATCGATTGCAGTTTACATACACATCAAAAATTATATATGCCCACTTCTCCATAGAGGCCCCATTTTTCGTTTTACAAATGTGTGTCTTATCATTATGGCAGCCAAAATCACTTCCGGTGCGGATTTTTTGTCTTCGTTTTTTAAACGCTGACATGGAAATGTGTACGTATATTGCCGTCGCCCCTGTTCGAATTTAACGATCTTTCAATGAACTGGTTTTGAGTTATTGCCCTTGACTTAGGAAAAACGCATCAAAATGTTTTTGTGAACACAGTTGAGTCAACAGTTTTCAACTGATTTTAATGAAATTTGGTGTGTTCATTTATATTGATGATATCTTTGCCATGTTCTAATTTGACGATCTTTCGATGAACGGCTTTTGAGTTATTGCCCTTGATTTAGGAAGACGCATCAAAATTTGTTTGTGAACACAATGGAGACTACAGTTTTCAACTGATTTGAATGAAATTTGGTGTGATCATGTATATTGAGGCGATAATTAGATGTGATTGGATTATTGATATTGATTTTTTAAAATTTGGTGGAATTTCTCAGCATAAATAACTGGCAGTAAATATATATATCATTGAATTCAAACTATTAAAATTTCTTTAATATGAGAAAATTCATACTTAATCACTTAAGACTGTTTTATCATTTCTGACAGCTGCCAGTGGGCGTATGATACCTTGCCTGGCAAGCTATCTATTGTAATAATGTTGACTACCGATCAATATAAGTGTTGTTGCTCACCGGAAGTAGTTCAACCGGAAGTGAAAGTCAAATTCCCGTTTGAACAGGAAGCGAATTCAAAAGTTTGTATCATATTGTAAACTTCAGTAATCTGTCTTTGCATCTAAAATTTTAAAAAAAATCTGACTAAAAACAAAACATTTTTTGATCGGATATTACATGTAGATGCAAAAAAGAAAACCCAAACCCTGTCTGTTGGTCCGTTGGTCTGTCGGTCTGTTGGTCCATCAGTCCGTCCGTCAACATTTCTTGAGCGCTATAGAGACTACAGTTTTCATCTGATTTTGATAAAACTTGGTGTGATGCTTTAGATTGATAAGATCTTGGTCAAGTTCGAACGGTTTTTGAGATATTGCCCTTGACTTAGAGCGCCTTGAAATTTGTTAAAAATTGTTCATGAGCAGGATTGAAGCTACAGTTTTCATCCGATTCTGGTGAAACTTGGTGTGATCATTGGAATTGATAAGATCTCGGACAAGTTCTAATTTGACGTATTTTCGATGAACAGTTTTTGAGTAATTGCCCTTGACTTTGTAAAAATGCGTCGAAATTTGTTAAAACTAGTTTGTGAGCAGGATTGACGCTACAGTTTTCAACCGATTCTGATGAAACTTGGTGTGATCATTGGAATTGATAACATCTCGGACAAGTTCTAACTTGATGCATTTTTGATGAACGGTTCTTGAGTTTTTGCCCTTGATTAGAGCTGTGTGATTTAATTGTTTGTTGTATTTGGGTTATTGATATTGATTTTAAAAAATTTTGTGGAATTATTCAGCGTAAATAATTTCTTCAATATGAGAAAATTCGTACTTTAGTCACTAAAGACTTTTTTTTTTTTTTCTGACAGCTGCCAGTGGGCGTATGTTACCTTGCATCACAAGCTATCTTTGCACTTGTTGAGCTGTAGAACTTACGGTTTGAAAAAATGTTCCAATTTATATTGATTAACAACTTTGCCACTACAGAAGGTCCACAAATGTAGAAATATTGCTGCAGATGTTGCAGCCTTTGCTTGAAAAGGTGTGTAAAAATCAAAAAAAAAAAAACAGAATTGACAATATGATAAACTGCAGAAGCAAAGTCCCACAATAAACAATGTAATAACGAAACGAAATTGTAATCTGATTTAAATAATGCTATACATAGAGCTTTGATATCCACTGTTTATAATGTTGCCTTCTTTTAATCATGATTTTCACTGCACTTTGATTAGGGCTACATTTAACATATTTCTAGGGTGATATAAACTGGGTAGAGGTTGAAGGAGATGTTACTAATAAAATAATAAGATCAGATACATTGAATATTGAAGATGTAGAAGCTAGGAAATATATTTTCTCTATATCAGCTGTCTATAAGAGAAATATCTCGACACCAATGATATTTGCTAACTGTATATATCAGTCATGGACAGGTTAGTATGTATGTGTTCATGATCTGAACCATTTGACAAGAATAATATGGCAGATAGATATACCATACTGTGACAAAATTTATACAAAAGTAGTGCTGAACTCTTGACGAGAATATTTTTATTTGGATAAATATTCTATTTGCTCCTGTCTTTCTGTTGTATGTGATCATGATAGTGGCTAAAAATTGGTTTGTCTTTTGATTGGGTAATATGAATGTTTTTTAATTTAATATTAATATTATATATTGATTTTGAACTTTTCTCCTTTTGTCAAATTAATTTAAAAACAATTGTAAATCTAAAGTTACTATCTAAGTCCAACATGACTTGTCATATTCAATGGTGACCATCTATTTATTTTTCAGTACCTAAAAATCCACCTCAGTTACAACTAGACAAAAAGAATCCAGAACGATCATTAAGAGTTAGTTGGAAATATGAAACTTGTCATTCTCAATCATTAGTATACATACAGTCTTATAATATTTATCATTGTCCAACAGATGAGCATGGTAACTGTACAGGTAATTTGTTCATCAATTTAGATGTTAGACTTTCTGGTAGAGGGAGGGAAAGAAGCAACTGAACTTTCAATTGTACAGAATTTTGGACAGATAATCCAAAGTAGCATTCAACAAAGTGTATAGTTGTGTCCTTTGAGACGGTCGATTTGACTAACCTGTACAAAGTTGTCTTGAAGAGATTAAAAAACTGGGAAATGGCTTACTTATAAATATAGAGTAATGCCAGAGCGCATCTTTTTTACCAAGTTCAAGAAAGATGTAGGTGGGTTGTGAAGGCAAAGCCAAAATACAAGTCTTACAGGTACATTTATATACACCCACATGTGGACGTTTATTGCTGGCGCCCCTGTCGGTCGATCCGTCAACATTTCTTGTGAGCACAATAAATTTGTAGTGATCATTTATATTGATACGATCTCCGACTGATTTGAATTTGACAATTTTTTGATGAACGGTTGTTGAATTATTGCCTTGACTTGGAAAAATGCGTCAAATTTGTTAGTAAACACAAAAGAGACTACAGGTTTCATCTGATTTTCATTTTTTGATAAATCCTTTTTATACGCCCATATGAAATGTGGAGCGTATATATTGCTGTCACCCATGTCCGTCGGTCTGTCCGTCCGTCCTTGACAGATTTTAACGAAATTTGGCTTGAGTGTTTGTTATCACCTAAGGATAAAGCCTATTGAAAATCAAAAAAATTGAAAAATATTTAGTATATTTTTGCAAACTCATTCAATTTGTAGCTCTTAAAAACTCTAGAAGGCATGATTCTTGCCGTATTTTGACAAAACTTGGTTTTATTATTCAGTACCGCGCTGAAGATTGAAAATTTGTCTTCTAGAGTTTTCACAAGCTAAAGATTTAACACGTTTTCAAGAACTAGGGCAATAACTTATACTCAATAGTATCGCCTAAAGAGTTCAAAAGAAGTGTATGACTGAAGGTTGAATATTTCATACTAGTGTACTGCTAAATATTTTCATTCAAAATGATAGCTGCCAGTGGGCGTATATTACCTTGCCTGGCAAGCTATCTTCAGTTATTGCCTTGACTGTCAAAATTCTTTTTGGGCACAATAGAATATACAATTTTCAATGGATTTTAATGAAACTTGGTGTGAGCATTGGAATTGATAAGATGACATTCAAGTTCGGATTTGAGGACTTTGCGATGAACTTTTTTGGAGTTATTGCCCTTGACTTATTATATTGGCCAAACTTTTTGTGGGCACAATAGAAGCTACAATCCTCAATGGGTTTTGATGAAACTTGGTGTGAGCATTGAAATTGATATGATGGCAGTGGAGTTTGAAGTTGACAATCTTTCGATGAACAGGTTTTGAGTTATTGTCCTTAAAAAATGCATCAAATTAACTTGTAAACACAATAGAGACTAGAGTTTTTATCAGATCTTAATGAAATTTGGTATGCATGTATATGTTGAAAAGATCTTTCTCAAGTTCTGAATTGGCTCATTTTTGATAAATGGTTTTTGAGTTATTTCCTTTGATTTAGTAAAATGTATAATTGGGGCAACAGATTTTTATACGCCCACATGAAATGAGGGGCGTATATTTCCGTCGCCCATGTCCGTCAGTCCGTCCAAAATTGCTCGTAAACACTCTACAAGACACAATTCTTGACAGATTTTGACAAAACTTGGTATGAGTGTTCGTAATCACCCAAGGATGAACCCTATTGAAAATCAGAAGAATCAAAAAATATTTAGTATGAGTTATTGCCCTTGTTCTTGAAAACGAGTTCAATTTCTTACTAGTCACATCTCATTTGATTTACTTGTGCTGGATAATCAAAGGATTCACCTTTGACCATCTCTACCTGCACATAAAAACCGAAAGTAAAAAGATAATGAAAGTAAGAAACTGATTAGCTGATATAAATAGACATCTTTTATTGTTCAATCAGATTAAAGAATGTTAACATCCGATACCTTTCTTATTGTTCTTGGATATTTTTCAATATGATATATTCTATAATTTAATTTAATTATCTATTTCACGGCTTTAGAGGAATCGGGTATTAAATAATCTCTATTTGAATGACATAAACTTTTCATAGCGAGTTGTTACCAACTATAAGTTTGTATTTGCAGGTGAAAAAACAGCGAAATTCAGTCGTAAATAGCCCACTTTTCAATGCAATTTTTCAATTGAAAATATCGTTGAATGTTCGAATGCAAATCGAATAATGCTGTCGAATAGTTTTTAGCACTACATATCAGATTGTCAAACCAACAGTCACCAGTACTAATGTACATCCAGCTTGACAAAGATATTGTTTAGACCACGGTTTAATTATATTTCTAGCAAAATATATAACAGAAAAAGTTGACAGTAGAATAAGTAACTATCAGTTAACAGATTTAAAAGCTGAAACTAATTATAGTGTTTGGATGCAACCTGTATCACCTGGAGGATTGGGCCCTGAAAGCGAAAAATTATATGGAGTTCCTTATGAAAACCGTAAGTAAATATTTGCCCAACTGAATACAGTGTTTCTTTGTAAAATGGTTCACTGATGGATCAGTGAAAAAGACTGAATACACTTTTTTATACGCCCACATTATAATGTAGTCGTATATTGTTGTCGGTCTTTCCGTCAGTACGTCCATCCATCCGTCCACAATTGGCTTGTGAACGCAATAGAGACAACAGTTTTTATCTCATTTGAATGAAATTTGGTGTGATCATTTATATTCATGAGATCTTGGACAAGTTCTAATTTGACGATCTTTCGATGACTGCCCTTGATATACTGAAAATGTATCAGGAAAGTGGGCATATCATGCTAGACAACCACTTGTTAGCAAGTACAAAGGCATTAATTGTATGTGTCAAAATGCTTGCCTGATCAAAATCAGAAATGGAAAATGTATAAGAAACGGCAAATAGAATATAGTCAGGACATCCACAAACAACAAGTCCATTATTCTGCCCTTATTTCTCTGTTCCATACATTTAAATTTTCAAAGCAGACTTTTTGAATTGAGCATCTAAAGGTTGTGTATTATATCCAGTTGTTTGAAGAACACTAGTTTTTTTTCAGATACTTTAAGTGGAAGTGAGATCACTGGTATTGTTTTTGGGATTCTGTTTGCAATGAGTTTGATATTTTTCATTATCTCCAGAATATGTTGCAGGTATTATTTAGGTATTTCTTATCTTCATTCTCTCTCACCACCTACCTGTTTCATTAGAGACTGTTATGGCTCAGAAGGATTGCTTTGGCTGGCTAAGTATAGGTAATTGGCATGCCGAATAAGAGTCACTTGATTTGCTATGGCCGAGTATAGGCAATTTGCATGTTGAATAAGAGTCACTGGATTGCTATGGCTAAGTATTGGTAATTTATATACTGAATAGGGACCACTACATCAAATGAGCTCAAATTACATGACATAGAAACAAACATAGAAAATCTTTCAAAATGTCCAATCAGGATTGATAAAAAAAATATATACTATTATTTCCTTGTTTTGTCGTTCTTTTTCTGATAAATGATATGGGTATGGATTAAAATGGATATTACATACAACTTGATTTTGGAAGTGGAAGTAGAATAATTTTTTATTATCCCTAAATACACCACTTTCATGGCATTGTATCGTTTCGTCATTTACATTAACATTTTGCATTGCTAAATGTTATTAGCAATTACTAATTATTAGCGATATGGATAGCAGTATTGACAGAGCTATTAGAATTATTCTTCTGTATCAAATTAATAAATTTAGTGTAGTTTATGAAGATAATATTTATGCATTATTTCTGAAAATGACATAAATATTCTGATTCGGCTATCAAAATTTGTCTTGAAATTTGACATAATAAGAATAATATTTTAATTTTAACCCAGTTAAACTTTCCCTAAAAATGATTGAAGAATAAAACTGAGATTTATGCTTTAACCCACATCATATATATATATATATATATTAGGACTAGTGTTCACATACTATTCGAAGCCAAATCAATCGTTAATATAAAACAGGTCACATTTACTTGGCAAAGGACCAAGAGTCCAATATTTGGAGTTCATTATTAATGTCAATATTGGACTCGTGGCCATTTGCCAACACCATTATGTTATGCAATTTGCATGTTGAATAGGGATAACAGGATTGATATGGCTGAGTATAGGTAATTTGCATGTTGAATAGGGATCAATGGATTGATATGGCTGAGTATAGGTAATTTGCATGTTGAATAGGGATCACAGGATTGATATGGCTGAGTATAGGTAATTTGCATGTTGAATAGGGATTACAGGATTGCTATGGCTGAGTATAGGTAATTTGCATGTTGAATAGGTATCACAGGATTGATATGGCTGAGTATAGGTAATTTGCATGTTGAATAAGGATTACAGGATTGCTATGGCTGAGTATAGGTAATTTGCATGTTGAATAGGTATCACAGGATTGATATGGCTGAGTATAGGTAATTTGCATGTTGAATAGGGATTACAGGATTGATATGGCTGAGTATAGGTAATTTGCATGTTGAATAGGGATAACAGGATTGATATGTGATTGCCTATCAATGGATTGATATGGCTGAGTTTAGGTAATTTGCATGTTGAATAGGGATCAATGGATTGATATGGCTTAGTATAGGTAATTTGCATGTTGAATAGGGATCACAGGATTGATATGGCTGCGTATAGGTAATTTGCATGTTGAATAGGGATCAATGGATTGATATGGCTGAGTATAGGTAATTTGCATGTTGAATAGGGATCACTGGATTGATATGGCTGAGTATAGGTAATTTGCATGTTGAATAGGGATCACTGGATTGATATGGCTGAGTATAGGTAATTTGCATATTGAATAGGGATTACTGGATTGATATGGCTGAGTATAGGTAATTTGCATGTTGAATAGGGATCACTGGATTGATATGGCTGAGTATAGGTAATTTGCATGTTGAATAGGGATCACAGGATTGATATGGATGAGTATAGGTAATTTGCATGTTGAATAGGGATCACAGGATTGATATGGCTTAGTATAGGTAATTTGCATGTTGAATAGGGATCAGTGGATTGATATGTCTGAGTATAGGTAATTTGCATGTTGAATAGGGATCAATGGATTGATATGGCTGAGTATAGGTAATTTGCATGTTGAATAGGGATCACTGGATTGATATGGCTGAGTATAGGTAATTTGCGTGTTGAATAGGGATTACAGGATTGATATGGCTGAGTATAGGTAATTTGCTTGTTGAATAGGGATCACAGGATAGGGGGGAGCTATTGCCTGCCTAGACAAATGGTTTGCACCCACATCTGTTCTCTCTTTATTTTTGATGTATTTAAAAATATAATTTTTTTATACATTTTAGCCCTAAAATATATGCTAGAAATGCACAGAATCAATCCAAGTTTTCGCAAATTTTCTTCAAAGGACCCTTTCAGACACTGAGAGGCTTGTAAGTCTATGTCACCTCCACAAATTGAATTCAGAGAGTTGCCCTAGAATCTAGTCAGTCTGCACCCTATTTGTACCCATAGTCTTTGGAGGCTCGCTCCTGAATTAAGGACAGTGTTTATTTAGTTAACTAGTTCATAATTAATTACCATTATAGAATAAATGATTGTTTTTTTTTTCTGTAGAAAATATTGGGACAATTGTTGTAAAAAGTATGTTATCAAAGAGATTAAAATTAAAGAAGAAGGCATGGTAAGATTAATTTTTATACGCCCACATGAATATGTGGTCGTATATTGTCGTCGCCCCTGTCCGTCGGTCCGTCCGTCAACATTTCTTGTGAGCACTATAGAGACTACAGTTTTTATCTGATTTTGAAAAAAAACTTGGTGTGATGCTTTAGATTGATAAGATCTCGGTTAAGTTCGAATTTGACATATTTTCGATGAACGGTTTTTGAGATATTGCCCTTGAATTAGAACGACTTGAAATTTGTTGAAAATTGTTCGTGAGCAGGATTGAAGCTACAGTTTTCATCCGATTATGATGAAACTTGGTGTGATCATTGGAATTCATAGGATCTCCGACAAGTTCTAACTTGATGCATTTTTGATGAACGGTTTTTGAGTTATTGCCCTTGACTTTGTTAGAACGCGTCAAAATTATTTAAAAATAGTTCGTGAGCAGGATTGAAGCTACAGTTTTCAACTGATTCTGATGAAACTTGGTGTGATCATTGGAATTGATAAGATCTCGGACAGATTCTAACTTGATGCATTTTCGATGAACGGTTTTTGAGTTATTGCACTTGACTTTGTAAAAACGCATCAAATGTGGACGTATATTGTCGTCACCCATGTCCGTCCGTCGGTCCATCTGTCCACAATTGGCTTGTGAACGCGATAGAGACTACAGTTTTCATCTGAATCGAATGAAATTTGGTGTGATCATTTATATTGATAAGATCTGGGACAAGTTCGATATTCATGATTTTTCGATGAACGGTTTTGAGTTATTGCCATTGACTTAGCCAAAACGCGTCAAAATTGGCTTGTGAACATGATAGAGACTACAGTTTTCAATTGATTTGAATGAAATTTGGTGTGATCATTTATATTGATGAGATCTTGGACAGGTTCGAATTTGACGTTCTTTCGATGAACGGTTTTTGAGTTATTGCCCTTGACTTATAAAAAACGCTTCAAAATTTGGTTGTGAACACAATAGAGACTACAGTTTTTATCCAATTCCAATGAAATTTGGTGTGAATATTTATAATGATGAGATCTTGGACAAGTTCGAAATTGGCTATCTTTCGATGATGGTTTTTGAGTTATTGCCCTTGATTTATGAAAAACGCGTCAAAATTTGTTTGCGATCACAGTAGAGACTACAGTTTTAATCTGATTTAAATGAAATTTGGTGAGATCATTTATAATGATGAGATCTTAGTCAAGATTAAGTTTGACAATTTTGAGTTATTAACCATGACTAAGTAAAAACGCATCAAAATTTCTGAGCGATAGAGGTGACAGTTTATGTCAGAATTTTATTAAATAATGTGTGTTTGTTTAAATCAACAACATCTTGCACAAATTAAATTTTTGGTATGATTTGACACAGATAGGTGACTGCCCTTGATATACTAAAAGGGCTAAGCAACCACTTGTTTCATATTATAATAATAGAGATAGAGTAAACTTGAATATTTAACAAATCATACTTTTGTGGTGTTGATTACTACTTCCATTACCTAAAATACCTAAATAGCTCGTGTTCATATCGTATTGATTTGCCCCCATGCACAAATGTCTTTGCTTGACTATACTGTATCATTTTTGTGTGTATATTCCTCTCTTTTTCAGAAATCTGGTTATGATGAGATTGGTTATATAAATGACATTGTTGAGGTAATTTTTATTAAATTTTCAAGCTAATTTTTTCTTTACAGCTTTTCAAACAAAATTAAATAGGTATTAAGTAAAAATTGGATCCCAGAAACAATCACATAGTTCAAATTCCATATAAAGTTGATATATTTCAGATAAATGGTGAAGAGCAGGTCAATCAGAAAGAAACGCCCAAATTAAAGACCCAGATAAGTGATGATAGTGGCACCTTTAGTCTGCCTAATTCTCCATCAGTGAGAGGAGAACATCTTCCTTCAATATCAGAGGAAGTTTCCAACAGTGGAGAGATCAAGGCAAGATCTCTTTCAGAGATGTTCAGTGAGAAACGAAATGGTGAAGAGAAAAGAAATCAAATGAAGGTTTCTTCTGGTGAAGCAGAATCTTACTTCAAAATGGATCTTCTAACAGATGATTCAACCAAAATGTCTGAGAACAATGTTGACAATATACAGAGTTCTGTATTGAGTGAAAGAAGATTATTAGGAATTGCAATGAACAACCTTTTGCCAGCACCAGGGAACAGTACTAAACCATATATATCAAGTGAAGCTATTTTATCAGAAAAACATGCCGTTAGTAATGGTTTTGACGCTCCATATGTTTCAAATAATCTTTTTATCCAGTTACCACCTGCACAATCCTCCATACATAATTCATCAAGCTCTGCATCAAGTAGTTCACCAACATCACAGAGTACAGGCACAGATGGTGATAGTGCACCACCATATATACACGTTACAGGAATCAATCAAAACTCAAGCCAATCTGAATCAAGTAATGTCTCTGGCAACCAGATTGAATCAGCATTACTCAGTGCTAACGAAGATACTTTGCAGCCAGCTCAAGAAATTTCAAAGTTAGACATTGCATGCAGTTCTTCTGATAAACAAACCAGTCCCTATGTTTTTTTACCAACCTCAAATACTTTCCAGGATCCACAGATAATACAGGTACCACAACATCAAAATCCAAGCAGTGGAGAATCTCGCATTTAGTCTAGTTTACAGATTTCACTGTAATGCCATCACTATATTAGAGGAAGGTTATGATCTGTGAATGTAGGGCTGTTGATTTGTATATTGCAAAGGAAATGTTGGCTTGAAGGTATACTACCTCTTAGGTTGACCATAGAATTTAAAGTTTAAAACTTGGTTAAAATGAGTCCTTGTTTATCAGTGGACTGACCTGGTGTCTATACAACTATACAACAGAATCCCTCTATAATCCAATAAGGCAATAAAACTAAGTAATGATTTATTAAACTGAGTTATTTTTGCTTGAAAGCATGTTCCAATAATTGTTTAGTTTAATGGATGTATCGTCTTATATAGAGTTTCTGTTTTTTAGTCATGGCACCTGGTAAGTCAAACTGATGAATGTTGGCCAAGTTTGAGACTTTAAAATCATGTTTAATCTAAGAGGTAGTATCCTTTGAAATATTTGATTAACCAGTTGATAGAACTCAATTTTAGCCTTCAATATCTCTTCTCGACATCAAAATTTTATTCTACAACAAAAAATAAAACATACCATCAACATTGACAGCATGATAGTCTCAACTGGTCAGGACTATTTTATTAAAGGCCTGGTATAGAGTGAGGAATTTAGTACAGAAACATTTATAGATCAAAATCAAAATTAACAAACTATTTATATTATAATTTGTGTTTATTATTTGTATGATTATTTGCTGATTAACTACTTATCAGCTCTTGATAATGTGTATATTGTTTTATGTTTTTTATTATTTTTGAAAAATACCACCATAATCTCTGTTCAGTAAAATTCATTAAAAACTCTAGGGACAGGTGCAGCATTTTGGGGGGTTGATTTTAGTCTTGAATAATATATGTAAATAGTCTTCAGAAGTACTAGCTAGCATAAGTTCTAGCATAAAAACTAGGAATTTTACTCACTATTTCTATGTCTTTTCTATATCACAGAGTATCTTAAAATGACGGATAATTCTGGACACATATGAACATGAACAATTACTGATTGGCTTAGCTAAAAAAAATCCCGTTTCTGAGAATAAAGTATGATTGATCAAAATGGCCTACATGTGCCTTTAAACTTTAAGATACTTTTGAATGTAAACATTTACTGGATATGTGCTTGATTTTGTGGTTATAATTATCATTTTTCACAACAAATGTATGTATTTTTTGTATTCTTTTAGTGCTATGCTTTTGTCTATGCATCAAATTCAAAATGAATCAATTCAAGTTTTATATTAAAATTTGTGTTGGTCAATGTATAAGAAAGTTTCTAATTGGATCATCCATATTTCTAATTTGTGACATCTCCTAACAAAAATGCTGTTTCTTTATTAATGTTTCTATCTACTTTAGTGGATTATGAATGGAATTCCAAAAAAAAAACTTACTTGATTTTAAAATATTAACTCAATTACTACAGTAACAAATTTGGATTATACATTATATATATTCTGGCAGATAAATGACTGATGGAATTGAGGAGATTCTTTCAAAGTTTTTGATAGTGATAAATTTCAAAATTCCGTGTAATAAAGTCACAGAGATTTCAGACTGAGAAGTTCATATATCATATCACTCCATTTTGTATCATGATGAATACAATATTTTTTATAAAAATGTGTTATTTTCTTGAACAATACATATTGTAAATTACTTTGCTTTCTGCTGGTAACCTAAATTTGATCTTTTTCAGGTTAAAAATCCAATGGAACTGAAAAGTAGTTACCTGTATCCCCTTTCAGAAATTATTTAAAATCCAGGAGATCTTAAACTTAAGTGAGCTGACTGATATTTCCTTCAGAAATAGTATTTGTTGTGACCAATAGGATTCATTGAAACAAAATATTTCTGAAAAGTTAATCTCTCCTATTTTATAGCCATTCTATATACCATTGAGTGAAATTGGACGCACTGCAATGAAAGAACAAAAACAAAATATTCGCATCGTTTGCATAATACTCGAATTTCTTCAACACAGCCTACCATCAAATATATCAATTCGTGATGATTTACTGAACCCCAGAATAGAGACTTGATAATCATTTCTACTCGCTAAAACCGAAAGTTTCTGGAACAAAGTAAACAACACAAATATTTCGTAGACTAGCTGTCTTATCTACTCTAACCTAGGCCTATTTCAAATTCGAATTTCAATGCAAAGATTTATCATCTAGTTAGTTGAATATTTCCAGTCTACTTACCTTCAAGATAAACTTACCTTCAGGTAAGTTGTCACTGGAATGTGAACTCTAAAATAGTTCACAGAGAGTAACACAATTCAATTCAATTTTTGGGGAAAAGTGAAGGTGTCTCATCATTCCCATCTGAAAAAAATAAAAAGGAAGTTGAAAAACTACGAGGGAATTTACATTTAAAATAGATGACGATAGACAACAAACCATTGACGATGCCTTAAAACATTTTGCAAGTCAACATAAGGGTACTGTTGAACAATACAAAAAATGAACAACATCGTTTGCGAACTGAAGTTCAACTTCTTTCGGACCAATTATCTAGACGAAATGACCGACAGCCATATAGACAGATCATCTTTATATAAATGGAAGAGTTTACTGGTACTTTTCAAGGAAACGAACCGGAAATTGAAATATTTTTAAAGGAATGGCTAACAAAAGTTCACAGAGCTTTAGATAACCCATTATATGACAAAAGGTTAAAGTTTTATCATTATTATTAGATGGATACGCTAAAACTAATTGAGAAATTATGCCTGATACAATATAATCTGACTATAATGCAATAATTCAGATGATAAAACAAACATTTATTGGACCGTTACATAAAGATACCAAACTCATTCTGTTTAATGAAGCTCATATGGAATCTGATAAAAACTATGAATGATATGCGGCTAGAATACGGATTTTAGCACATTATTATTTCGAACCAAACCGCTGTGATAGATAGATTTATGAATACTATTCCAGAAAGAGTCAAAAGATATATTTATGAACATTCTCAACACAGTGACACTAATCATCAGAGAAGATTATACATATTGCCAAAACTATAAATTAGCTTAAATGGAATCCGTTATAAGTTATACATCCTGCAGCGACTTCGACTATAGCGAGAGCTGAAGATACACGACGATACGATGATCCGAATACTGACAGAGATAGAGAACAGCCTCGTTTCAGAAAAGAATCATCACCCGAACAGAGATATAGACACAGTTCCAGATCCAGACAAAACACTTAATTATGACTGTGATAAGCGACAGTATCGTAATACATACAGGCGAGACACACGTGATGATGGTTATAAATGAAGTCGTATGCGAGGTGATCACGACAATAATCACAGAACAAGTGACCGAAGTTCGCGAAGAGATGGCAGACGTCATAATGATTCCTGGAATAACTAACGTGGTAACTTTCAGAACAGATACCAACCGGAACAACACCATTAAACAAAGATTTCGCCAGACACACTTCTTCTAGAAATCATCGCTACTCCCCTAGAATTGATCGTCGAGATCCACCATCATATAGAGGAATTTGTTTTAGAGATGATGTTTAATTGTCAAGAATATGGTCATTTTGCGCACCAATGTCCTTCAAACCAGTAATTCTTGTTAACAATAATTAACAATATTCCTCTACAACCTCCAGAAATACGATTCCTATCTGATCCAATACTTCCTTAGAAGTCAACGAATACAAGCATTTCTAGATGGCGGAGTCGATGTCTCTCTAATGAATAAATGGTTTTATGACAGGTCTGTGCCAGTAACAACAGATCCTCGTGCTCCAACTGTTTCCAGAGTAGCTCTCAGTGAAAATGTTAACATCCAACCATGTGAGCAATCAATTTTACCAGTAAACGTAAATACGAATCAGACTATAACATACGATATTCTTTTAGATCCTAACTGTAATGTTACAGAGAAAACAAATATATCATGATTGCTAGGGCACTGACCAATGCAATTCTCATGATGATGAACATGGGAGATGACCCAATTCCGTTACATAAAGATGAACCGTTAGCATGGGCTTGTACGATAGATAAATCAAAAGTGTATCTGAAGGACTAATTTCTCAACAGACCACGCCATCATCTGAACAAGCATTTCAAATAATGAGAAAACCTTTGATACATCTATGATGGTCATTGACAAAAACACCCATACACCCAACCAAACAACTAAAAGAAGTACTTGCAAAATTTCAGGACAATTTTATGAAACCAGGTAAACGATTGGGATATTCTGTGAAAACATTTCATACCATTGATACCGGTGACAGTCGTCCTATAACAGTTGGGGCGATTCCCAATTGTTCTTGCCAGAAAGCCAGATTCAACATTTGGCATATGTATAGATTTTGATAAACTTAATAAAGTAACTCTAAGGGACGCTTATCCGCTTCTAAGAGTGGCCTTTATAAATTTCGTCGTATGCCCTTTGGACTTGTAAACGCACCTTCATGCGATTAATGCAATTGGTTTTAAAGGGTAAACCAGTGGCAAATATGTGTGCTGTATTTAGATGACATTGTTATTTATTCTAGGAATTTCAAGGACCACCCTCATGATTTGAAAATTGTTTTTGATAGACTCCGTGATTTAATTTAACATTAAAACCTAACAAATATTCATTTGCACAACCGGAAATAAAATACTTAGTTCATCAGATTTCCCAATATGGAATTAAACCACATCCGGATGAAATATCATCAGTTGTTAATTTTCCACGCCCTACTAACGTCACCGAAATATTATCGACGGTTTATTAAAAATTTTACTGGGATAAGTAAACCACTCAATGTGCTCACACAGAAAAACGTTCATTTTTATTGGAGTGACAGTAAGTGTGAAGATTCGTTTCAAAACAAATCTTGACAACTGATCCTATACTCAAATTTCCTAATTTCTCCGATGATTTTTATTTGCAGACTGATGCTTCTCAATTTGCGATTGGAGCAGTATTTTCCCAATACCATTCAGGAAAAGAACAGCCATAGCTTACCCGTCCATATCACTGTCTTCAGCTAAGTGCAATTATTCAACTATACAAAAAAAATGTTTAGCTATAGTTAGTAGTATATGAGCTCATAGATTGGTCGCATTTTTCCACATTCCATTTCATTTCATGGGAAAAATGCAACCAATCTATGAACTCCCAAAAAACAAGACCTAAATTCCCTACATTTCATAAATTCTTACACTTAAAAAAGACCTAAATTCCCTACATTTCATAAAACAGCCTACATTTCATAAAATTCATACACCAAAAAAACACCTTCAATCAATTTCCTACATTCTATCAAAAAAGCATATTAAAATAATGTAGAAGATAGATAACTCTTTTTTTGAAATTTTCTACTCAAATTTTAAACCTTAAAAATGGCAAATAAAATACTAGATCCAATCTTTAGATTATACGATCCGATTCGTTATTCGTTTAACAAGAAAAAAGAGGATTATATTATCATCTCACCTACTGTTGGTTCTAAATCCCAATTGAATGATGGGGGTAGAATTACCTTCGAAATAAATTCATTATCGAATTGGTTGCTTCTTTCCGATGCTTATTTCAGATGCGATTTAAAAATTAAAGATGGAACTCCCAATGAAAATCGTGTTCCACAAACAAATACAACGTTAGAAAACAATTTCTTTCCATTTTTATTTAGCGAGATGGTTTTGGAAGCTTTCAAATCCGATAGAAACAATCAAACATCCTGGGGAATTCGACACAATGTTGAAAACAGTTTTATATCCTAAAGATTTCGATTCAGTCTCAGGTTGGATACCCGATGTTGGCAGTGGAAGTGTTTTAAAAGAACCGGTAAGAAATGTTGCAAATGATGCCGATTTAGATAGAGTGAGAGTTGTTGCTCGAAACACAATAGAAAGAGTAGCACGAGCAGCTAATCATGGATTCGAAAAACGAGTACTTCAGTACAATAATATTGTTGAGAATAATAGGTGGGGTAATTACGTAATTGGAAATTATATCCTTCATTCGGTCTGTTGGAACACAGAAAAGTTTCCATAGGGTTACCATATAAAATTCATCTACAAAGAGAAATCAACGACGATAAGATATTCTTTGGAGAGAATGCTTCAGGTGCAAAATTATAAATAACGAATCTCCAACTTTTCATACCCGTAATAACACCATCAATTGAAGTAGAAACGAGAATATTCAACTCGTTAACTAAAGATATTGAAATAGCTTTTCTTCATCGTCATCGTAACACGGTAGGTAGTATGACTTTAACGGGAGAATCCACCACCTGGCCAATCACTAACACTATTAAACCAGCAAGATATTTAATAGTTGGTTTCAAGAACTTACCAGATTCTCAAACGAATAACAATAATGTCTTTAGAGTGGCAATGAACCAAACTTAAGATCCTTTAATCCATAAAGTTCAAGTAAGATTAAACAACGATAATTATCCTAACCAACCTTTAACAATTAATCCAACCACAAAGGATTATAATGAATTGTATAGAAACTATAAAAATATGTGTGAATTATTTGGAAATCTACCTCAGTTTAAATATGTAGATTTTGCACTTAATCATCCAATCTTCTGTTTTGATCTATCAGCTCACCAAGAAGATCTTTTCAAAACAGGAGTGAACATGAATATTCATATTGAAAAAACACAAGGAGATGTAACAGGTTATTGTTTATTATTAGAAGAAGCAAAACATTTAATTAAAATAGCAGATAGAAGAATGATAAGAATTGAGTAAAAAATACACCCTTAAAAATGAAAGCAGAAACTTTAGTTATGAAAATAATAGAAGCTATTGAAACAGCTTCACCAACTGTAATAACTTTCAACGGTAAAGAAAGCAGCTGATGCTAAAGCCGCTGAAGAACGCAGACATAATTTAGCAATTGAAAAGGTGGCAGGAGTGAGAGAAATGATAGGAACAATAAAAGAATTTGGAAAAAGGTTTGGGGAAGAAACCAAGAAAACTGTTAAACAAGGATTAAATAAATAAGTAGATAGTATTGACACGGGAGAAGTCAAAGTTAAACATAAGGGTAATGGAATATTTTTTAAAAAAATATACACGCTGGAGAAGGAATATTTCTTTCAAAGTATAAAGGAGAAGGATTTATTTTTGGAACAAATTAGAATAATAAAAAATGGATAAAAAATTTAATCATTCAGAAATATTTCCTAATAACCCCATGCTCATGTGTTTATGCGGTAGTTCCGGTTCTGGGAAAATTCATCTCACTTTTAACATGTTGACAACACCAAACCTTTTAGATTTCGATTCTTTGTATATCTACACAACAACACCAGAGCAATCGTATTATCAATTTCTCAAAGCTTTAGAATATTTACCAAAGAAAGATGTTCAAGACCTATTTCAATATTACGAAGAAAAAGAAGAAGAAGAAGTGGAAATAAAAGATATCTTAGATATCGAAGGAAAGAAACCAACGGATAAAAAGTTATTCTTACGAAAAATGTTAATGACCTAGATTTGTCTAATATTGATAGCAAACGAAAGAACTTAATATTGTTTGACGACTGCGTAGCGCAAAGAAATCAAGCTGTTCAACAAGAATTCTTCACGAAGGGAAGACATCACAACTGTCACTGCATATACCAATCCCAATCTTTTTACGGGATGGATTCTATGTTTATTAGAAAAAATGCAAATTGTTTTTTATTATTTGAATTAAACGATAAAGATTTATCTCAAATCATTCAGTCGATAAATCACGGAATGGACAGAGATGCATTTAAAAAGGTTTGTAAAGCTCAATGGAAAAACCCAGATGATCATGGATATATATTCGTTAATACTAGAAAACTTGCAGGTGAAAGAGTTATGACAGATATTTGTTAAATTTTATTTTTTTAAAAGTGGATAATTGGAATAATATTTTAAAAAGAAATAGAGAATATATCAAAGCTAAGAATAAAATAAAGACCCAAGTTGAAAATAACAGATTACAACAACTCGGATTAACGGAAAATCTACAAACTCTATTTCAGCCCATATTAAAATCTCAAGAGGATATTAAAAAGAGACTTATCCCTCCTATAGAACCCACACCTCCTATAGAACCTCATCAAATAGAATAACCCATTGATGGTATTATAATTAGGTCATTAAATGATATAAATCATTATTTTTCAAACCCTGACCAGATTCACCAAAGACCATTTCACCAATTGTTGATAATGATGGGTTATTGTTTAATGGACTTAGAATAAAATTTAGGGCAAATTCCCCTTCATTCAAAATCGATACAAAAGACTTTATATTTACAACAACAGAAGGATTAATAGATTTAATGAATGGTGGGGATATTTATATTGCCGATTATAAGGATTTAGTAGCATACCATACCATCAAAACCATACGTTTACTACCAGGAAGCTACGAATACATAGCCATTAACGAATACCTATCTGAATATGGAGGAAGTGTCAATGGTAAAAACAATATTGAATTCGAAGGTAATTTGAATCTGAACAAAATAAAACTGATATTAAGAAATAATAGTCAAGTTGATTTCAACGTAGAAAATTCATTGAATACGTTACTAGGATTTGATAAACGAGTATACACCCAATCCACTTTAGCGCCGCATAAAGCTAATATCGAGAATGATATCGATGTCATAAATATACATTGCAATTTGATAAACGGTGGATTTTTCAATAAATACAAACGTCAGATTATTTACAGTCTTCCAACATTCACTGTACCGATAGGATATAGAATTATAGAGAAACCATTTCAAACGAAGTATTTACCACTTAATTCCTTTATGATTAAAGATATAAATCTGGAAATCAAAGATGGTAAAAATAGGTTTATAGATTTTGGTAACGAGGAAACTGTTATTCAACTTCATTCTCTTCTTGAATAGTTAGATAATCGTGATCATCAAATTCGTAGTTTTCATCTATGTTCAATTCTTTTCCGTCGTTGTAAGGATACATGATTCCTTCACTGTTTGGTGCTTTCTCTTAACGAGATTAAGATAACTTCAAAAAACTACTCCATTGGTGAAACTTTTTACCCAAGGTTTCTTAAATTCATTCGTTAAATCGAGTCCACTAGCTAATCGAATATAATCTTCTACGGATATCTTATCTTTAGAGTAACCCTTAAACGTTTTCTTTTAAAACACCATCGGAAGTTGGTATTATATTTAACTTTTGGCGCTAAATATGACCAAATATAATTCCACCATCACCGTAATAATTCTTTCCTTTACAATAATCATTTTCGGACACCAACCCAGCTTCATTTAATTTATCCCAATTGCTAGACGAAATGTATAAACTATCGGTATCCATATAGTATATTCCAGGCTTATAAAATCCATCTATCACGCGAATAAAATTATTCATTATTTTTTTAAGGTGAGATAAAACGAATGATCCCAAATGACTAGGTGTTAGTCGTGTAGATTTAGGAGGAAGAAATTCTTTTTCTTCTTCATTTATCTCAACTATATAGTGACTATCATTTACTTTTTCATAGCTTTTGACGTGTGAATCATAGTTGGCTTTTAAAGTCGCTTCACTCCATAGATGTCTCGATGTAGTTATATCCTTCTGAATAGATTTACCATACAACGAATTGCCTAATAATTTCATGCAATTACTACCTACAATATTACCTTCTCGTTTATATTTATTTCTTAGATCTCTCAAAATTAAAATATAATCTCTATAGGGTGGAGTTTTAAAATTTTCTTCGTAAACTATACCATCTAATATTTTAATAATTCGTCCACCGGCTTTCACTATTTCTTGAATATCGACTGATGTTAAAACGTCGTGACAGAAGCCATTTCTGAATCTGATTTTAGTGCCAGTTTCCTTTTTACCTTCTTTATTCGTGAAAGTCATTTTATCTTTAGCTGGTATACGTTGGAAGAACATGTTTTTGGGATATTCAATCCAGACTTTTAAAATAGCAGTTCTAGGTCTGAATTTCTGTTCATTAAAGAGCTTGACAAATTCTTTATTTTCTTCCGGTAGAAATGGTCTACCACTTTCCGCTCTCGGATATTCGCTATCTAAATCCGACATGGTGGAAGCGTACAAACCGTTAGCATAAAAGGCCATTAGTTTAGTACATTTTATTTTTTTAAGTCTCGAATGAACCTCCGTTTTATCTTTCGTGCAAGCGCTATATTCTTTGAATAAATCAAGTCACTTTCTAAATACTCCTTTAAAATGGCGCAAATTTCATCCATTTTATTCGTTTCAAATGATTTTCGATTTGCCGAAACTCTTCCTCCTTTAATACTTTGTCTGATAAAAAATCTAGTAGTTTCATACCATTCTTCTTCAATCATTTCTTTATCGTAATGATATAAATAATACCAACCCTTTAAAGATAAAGAAGGGGCTGTTAGATTATTGGAAATATTCTGAAATACAACTCCTTTCATTGCTTGATTGTATTTTATCAAACAAGCTCCGAGACATAACGTATCTCTTTTAGCGTAAGGTTCCCATTCGTGTCATAAAGATTCCCAATTATCTTTAGTGTATTTTGCAATATTAACATCCTCGATCTTTCTCAAATTCATTGGTAGATTAGATGAGTTTCCTCATGCTGCCAAACTAGATGATTCGTGTTGATAGGAACATATGAAATTAATATTTTGCAAATAATTAGAGTTACCCTTTATTTCTTTCTGTCTTTTCCATTTTTCTGTAAATCTTCATCAGTGAATGAATTAGTTAAAGGTAGAGACAGAATTCCTCTGGGCGTTTTTAAAGGGCATTGTGTTAGTTTTTTTACGTTTTTGATCATGATTCAGTTTATGTAATTAATGTTATTCTTTTTTGATCTATTTTTCCTAAACGTTGTAACATTTGATCGATGCAATCTGTACCTACAGATATTTCTACTATATTAGTCATGAGTTTGTTGTAAAATTCTTCTGGAATGGGATCTGTCGGCTTTAAATCTGGAATGAGATTATTTATTCTGTTTAACATTTTTCTTAGTTTTTCTGCAAGAATAAGGTATGGCTTTATTTTCGTTATAGGTTTCGCAATCCCACGCGTATAAACAATCATCGGGAATGGTTGGAAAAACGTTTAGTTTTAGAGGTGAAACTTGCGTTACCGCATTATCATCTTTACAAGTTCTCCATACATTTTCATCGTAATTATCTTCTATTTCTTTAATGCCTAAGGTTTTGTTATTTCTTCTTATCAAACAGAAATGTTCTTTGTGTAAATAAAAAACCCAATCTAATTCTTCGGATACTTTCTTTGGTTGAAAATGTCTATGTTTGGGCATATAAATTTGAAAATAAGTATTAAATTTCTTATTGAATTCGCAGATTCTAGCAGATGTCATAACTCCTTTTCTGTTTGATTTTGAAAGGCTGTTGATGAAATCACGATTAACGCACTTTACAAAGCAATATCCATCGCTCGATATTTAACAATTTATACCGATATATTCATTTATCTTTTTGAGTAGGGTAACACCACTACCCTTTTTTGATCTTTTTATTTCTTTGAAATTGTTTTTACGGAAAATCATTTTTCCTGTGAAATACCAATCAGAAGCATCCGATTTTATATCCACTGTTGCGAAGAAATTGCGAAAAGTTTTGGCATTAAAACCTACAAATTGCATGCCTTGTTTATATCCTCCATCTTGAGTTATCTCTCCATTTATTTCAATTTGACCTTTAAATGTTATAAATTTATCAGAGATAATCTTAATAACATTGGAAAAAAGTTCATTTGATATGAATTTTTAAATTTTATTCATATTTTTTAAATTAATCAGAGATAATCTTGTCAATAACATCGTCTAAAATTTTAATTGATATGAATTTTTTATCGTCTAAAATTTCAATTTTATTCATATTTTTAAAGCAACTATTTTTAACTAGGAATTTTTAACTTTTATTGATGATATTTCTACATCAAATTTATCTAAAATTTCATTGAATTTTTCTAATTCTTCAACTGTTATGTTCTTGTCTTCTCTCGATCTTTCGAAAAATATAAACAATTTATTAAGATATGTATTCAAAATTTCTGTTTTCCTTTTATAATGAGCTTTCTGTTTTGATGTAAAACCTAAAGTTATCAAACCACAAGATGAAGTTTGAACGGCAATACAGTTGGGACAATTATTGGAAGCATTAATCCACCGGTTACGGCTGTTGCCACCGTTATTCCTACTGTTAAAACTGTACTTAATGTTTTGAAAGCAGAATCGATTCTACTCCATGTTTTTCTGCATTTGTTGAATTGTTTTAGTTTTTCTTTTAGTTCGTTTTGTTTTTCTATCATATATTTTTGTCTACTTTCGAGTTCCATTTTTTAGGTAATTAAATTAAGTGAACTTCTGATAAAGCTGCTAGGTGTTTATTAATAACAACTTTTACAGTTACTAACGAATCATTAATCTTATTCAGATGAACTGAAAATTTTGGTTTTCTAATAGAGATTGATATATTAACATATGCATCATCTCTTATTAAAATTTTTTGATTTTGTTGACTTTTATGAATATCAATTGAGGTAAATATATCATTATCAACAAAATATAGTTTTACGTATTCAAAGTCTGTTGCTCGTAAAAACTGATAACTGCTTATATCTTTTGTTTGTGGTTCTGGATTTCTAATAATGTTCATTGATGGTGGAGTTTGTTTCCGTTTCCAATATCATATCAAAATCACCCAATATAAATTTATCTTCTTCTTTATCTTGTATGATTAACATTCTAAACCTATCTATATATTTTCCACTCGTTTTAATTTCATATAAGTGATTAACCTTGTTGTTTTCGTCGTTACTTTCATATTCTTTAGTTTCTACATTTTTTGTACCATTGATAAACTGAAAAACTTTTTTAGCGTTAAATTTTTTATTAGGTATATATAAGCCTTGTGTTAAGAAGCCTTGTGTGAAGAATAATGAATCAACTTTTACCTGAAAAGGGAAAGTTATTTCAATTATAAGTTTTCCTCGGAAATCAAAAAATACTGGTTGATAAGGTTTATCATCATCTGAATCAAAAATATTATTGGGGTAAATAATATCACTTGGAACAGAATATACTCTTATATTTGCTGTAAATCCATATTTTTTAAATTGAAACTCTTTTGATCTATCAATATTATCAGTAATAGAAGCATCGTTACGTCTCAAACTTCTAAATGGAAGATTGAAATAATATGATTCTTTCTTGAGAAACTTTTTTTTTAATGCGACTATATTTTTGTTCTGTTTCAAAACTAGGTTATTAATAGTGGTTATCTGTTGTTGAATAACAATATCATCAATGTTCTGTATTTGTTGATGAATATAGGTTTTGATTTCGCTATCATCAGTAGTATATGTCTTTTCGGATATGACGCATTTGACTTCTGCGCATGCGCAGCTTTTTCAATGCATCATATCCGAAAAGACACAACTGTTAAAATGTATTATAACAGACTCCCCAAACTGTATTATAACAGACTCCTCCAAACTGTATTATAAATTACCCCAAAACCACAGACAAGAATCACTAAAAAATAATACAGTATAAAATAACCGCAATAAAAATGTCTTTAATTTTAAAACACGAACAAAAAAAATTCGAAGGAGACGGTTTCTTCTCTGCGCTAACATCTCTCATCCCCAAAGTGGCCAATTTTGTTTCAAACAACAAATTTCCTCCTTGTATTAAATCTTTCGTATTAAAAATATATGTTGAACAAATATGTCTTTAATAAATGTCCATCCTCCTAAAACGTATTTCGGTGCGGGAGACATTCAAAAGTCATTGGGTTCTCTTCCTGGATTCCCATGGGCAAAATATCCCGGAGAAAAACATCTCCCAGGGCACAATTATACAGGTCCAGGCACTAGGATAGATCTGCGTTTAGACGAAAATGATAATCCCAAACCAGGGGAAGAACCCGTTAATAGAGTTGACGCAGCAGCGCTCAAACACGACATTCTGTACAGAAACAAAGACGTAACATTCAGACACCAAGCAGACAAACAAATGATAGACGAACTCGAAAATATTCCCAATCCCACTTTCAAAGAGAAATTACAAAGGGCTCTTATCATAAAACTCTTGAAGGCAAAATTGAAATTGGGTATGGGCATAGCAGACGAGATTCACAAAGAATTTCGAAAAAACAAACATTACCTCAAAGTCAAAGTTTTTGATAAAGATGAAATTTGGTCAGCCGATATAATCAACATGCCAGTCGAGAGAGGATACAAGTATTGTTTGACGGTGATCGACATATACACGAGATACGCTTGGGTCTTTCCCTTGAAAAACAAATCGGGTCTGATTGTCAAACAAGCATTCGAAACCATAATGAAACAATCCGACAGACGACCCCTAAAGTTGTGGGTTGATAAAGGAAGCGAATTCTACAACAGAAATGTGAAATCTCTGGGGTTTGAAATGTACAGCATAACGAAGGTAAAGCCGTAGTGATAGAAAGATTCAACAGGACTCTTAAAAGCAAATTATTCAAGAAATTCACGGAATTGAAATCTCAAAAATGGCTTAGAATATTACCAGTTGTTGTCGACGAATACAATAACAAAATACATTCGTCTATAGGTGTGACGCCATCCTAAGCCTCTAATAACCCGAATATCATAAAGTCCGTCAACACTCGAAACAACTTTGAAAACGAGATTAGCAATTTGAATATTAAACCCAAATTCAAAGTTGGAGATCGAGTTCGTATTTTTATTATAATAAATTTAACTCAATAAAAATGGCAAACAAGTTTGGATTAGGGTCTTTACCTCTAGAATCTAAAAATCCCATGAGTTCTACGGCGTTTATAAACAAAGCGAAACCTTTTTTCGTGGATCAAATCGGAGACACCTTACAAGGGGATATCGATATGAACAATTTCAAAATAACTAATTTAAAGTTTCCAGGAAACGATAACGATGCCGTGAACAAGAAAAATTTACTGGATCAAATAAACGCAATTCAAATAGATAAGGACCATGTTGAAAATAGAATAAATGACGTGAAAAGATTCATCAGACGAAATATTAAAAATCTTGTGGACGAACCCAAACTACAACAAGAGTTAACGAGTTTGAAACGTCTTATTCAAGTGGATAAAACAAGTGAGTTGATATCTAAATTAGACGATCAGATTACGAAGGTAAAAATAGACGTCCAACGTTTAATAGACAACCCAAATGTAAACGAGGATAGATTGAAACGAAAACTAACCGCTTTGGAAAGAAAACTTGGCAAATTGCTAGCAGAACTAGACAAGACCGCGGACAAAACCGAAAAATTCGATATCCAATTTGAACGAAAAGATCGCGAAGCAAAAATCAGATGTTCAAGATATAATTAACACACTTCCCATTGACAAAGATACGTTGAAACAACAATTGACTGCTTTGGATACTAAAATCAATGACGAATTAGAAAAAGAAGTGGGTGTGATTAAAAACTTTCTTCAAAATAAATTTCGAGATGATATGAAAAATTATATTAAAGAACAGGTCAATCTTTTGGTATCTAGAATTCATGACGATTTTTTGAGACAAGAGAGAAAGTTGAGCAAATTAGAAGCTATTGTCACGGACAAATCGTATTATTTCAATCTACCATTCGAAAGTGACACTGTCTTCGATAGAAAAGACCAAATTTATAAATCAAACAAATACGGATTCAAAGCAGAAATAAAAGTGGGTTCACTCGCATACGGAGAACCTAAAAACGTATTCGATATCGGCGAAACGCAAGAGTTTTCTTTTCGAGGTAATTGTCTGATTCAAATAGAGTTTCCCATGAAGGTTAAAGTCAATAAAGTAGTCTTCAAACAAACCGGTAAGGCCGTCAAACATATTTCATTAATCAATGATGGTAATTTGGAAGAAAATGTACGTTTGATTGATAAAAGGGATCAGGAAATTGAAACGAAAAATGGTAAATATGTAGAAACCTTTAAAATGGAAGTAGAAAATGATAAGGATATCATTGGAATCAAAGATTTGGATATGATATTGGAGACGGAAAATCCACCATCAACCAACATTGACAAAATTCCACCACGCTTACACAAACACGGAAAAATAGAATCGAGCAGTCACGAGTTTTTACGAACAACAGACTTTGAATACGTAAAACTATATTTCGCTTTAGGTGAAAAATACACCTCTATCGATGTTCATAAAAGTCAACAAGAACGAGAGTTTATAGTACATTTAACGTTTGCCGAAGGTTCCGACTCCATCCTTCATGCTGGTGGTTATATTTTTAGAGCCAAGATAAACATCGAAAAAGAAAAAAGAAAATATTCCTATCATCTTAAAGAGGACCATACGAAAAAAGAAATGTCGTTAGTACGCGTAAATGTTTTTACTTTTAATACCCGAATATTTAAGAATACTAGGCCAAACGACCACGCTCTATGGGATATTCCGTGGTTCTATTTATCGGAAATTCACTTAATTTAACGACTTAAAAAATGGAACTCGAAAGCAGACAACAATACATGATAGACAAACAAGAAGAGTTGAAAATAAAGTTAAGACAGTACAATTCATGCAGGAAAACATGGAGTAGAATCGATTCTTTTTTCAAAACAGCGAGCACAGTTCTAACGATAGGAGTAACAGTGGCAACGGCCGTGACTGGTGGATTAATGCTTCCGGTCATCGTCCCAACCGTATTGGCTGCATTAACAGCCGTTCAAACGACTTCTTGCGGTCTCATCACTTTAGGTTTCACGAGTAAAAAGAAAGCTCATTATAAAAAGAAAACGGAAATCTTGAATATGTATCTTAATCAATTGTACATCTTTTTCGAAAGATCGAGAGAAGACAAGAACATAACAGTTGAAGAATTACAAGAATTCAATGAAATTTTGGACAAATTCCATACAGAAATATCAGCGGTCAAAATAAAGAAATAATCAAAAATATATACTTAAAAAAATATGATTTAAATCGAACTTGATGAAACATTGATAGAAAACGCCCTATTTTCCGATGTTATCAAGGCTATCTCTGATAAATTTAAAACATTCAAAGCACAAATTAATATAGATGGAGAGATAGTCGAGGAAGGGAATCACAGACAATACATGTCACTCCTCGGTTTCAATGCCAAAACTTTTCACAATATCTTTTCAAATATGGACAAAAAATCCGATGCTTCCGATTGGTATTTTACAGGAAAAATAATTTTAATGAAAGACAATTTCCAAGAAATAAAAAGATCTAGTGTTGGCAGAGGAGGAACTGATCTACTAAAAAAGATCAATGAATACGAAGGCGAAAATTGTTACATACCTACAGATGGTCACTGTTTTATCAAATGCGTCAATCGTGTTTTGAACAAAGATTCAACGTGTAAATTTCAAGAATACATCAACGGGTTTTCAAAAGCAAATAGAAAAGGAGTGATGACTTGTGCTAGAATGAATGAATTCAACAAGAAATTCAACACTTCGTTTCAAATTTATAATCCCAAAAACAGACATTTTCACCCCAGAGACGTTCACGATGAATTAGATTGGATTTTGTACTTACACAACTCGCATTTCTGTTTGATTAGAAGAAGCCAAAAAATTTTGGGAATTCAAGAAATAGAAGACAATTACGAACAGGTGTGGAAAACGTGTAGAGACGACAACGCAGTAACACAGGTTTCACCCCTCAAACTAAACGTGCTTTCGAGTATGAGCGATGATGCGTTATTCGCTTGGGATTGCGAAACGTATTCAGAAAAAGACACGCGAAGAGCAATTCCATATTGTTGCACTTTAATTAATTTGGAAAAACTAAGGAAAATGTTAAACAGAATAAATAATCTATTTCCAGATTTAAAGCCTACAGATCCCATTCCAGAAGAATTTTATGATAAACTAATGAATGTAGTAGAAATATTTGTAGGTACAGATTGCATCGATCAAATGTTGAAATATTTAGGTCAATATGATAGAAAGAGATTAATATTAATTTCTCATAACGGCAGTGGATTCGACAACTGGATCGTGCTTAAAAATGCAAAAAAACTAACGCATTGCCCTTTAAAAACACCGAGAGGAATTCTATCTTTTCCTTTATCTAATCCATACACAGATGAAGATTTACAGAAAAAATGGAAAAGACAGAAAGAAATAAAGGGTAATTATTTACAACATATAAATTTCACGTGTTCCTATCAACACGAATCCTCTAGTTTGGCTGCATGGGGAAATTCTTCCAATCTCCCCGCGAATTTGAGAAAGATTGCCGACGTAGATATCGCTAAATACACGCAAGACAACTGGGAGGAATTGAGACACGAATGGGAAACTTACGCCAAGAGAGACACTCTCTGTTTGGGAGCTTGTTTGATAAAATACAACCAAGTCACGAAAGAAGTTGTAAACCAAAATATGTCCAATAATCTAACGGCTCCATCTTTATCTTTAAAGGGTTGGTATTATTTATATCATTACGATAAAGAAATGGTGGAAGAAGAATGGTATGAAACTACTAGAATGGTTGCAAAACATACCGAAAAAGAAAATATAGAAAAAGTTTATTCGCACACTAATCCTTTTATAAGAAATTTTATCAGACGATCTATTAAAGGAGGAAGAGTTTCGGCAAATAGAAAATCATTTGAAACGAACAAAATGGATGAAATTTGTAACGTATTAAAGGAATATATTTCACAAAGTGAAACACGAAGTGACACAGAACTTGAAAGTAATAACATAATTGATTTATTCAAAGAATACAGCGCAAGCACAAAAGACAAAACGGAGGTTCATTCGAGACTTAAAAAAATAGAATGTACTAAACTAATGGCATTTGATGCTAACGGTTTATACGCTTCCGCCATGTCGGATTTAGACAGTGAATATCCGAGAGCGGAAAGTGGAAGACCGTTTCTACCAGAAGAAGAAAAAGAATTTGTAAAACTCTTCAATAAACAAAAATTCAGACCTAGAACAGCTATTTTAACAGTGTGGTTTGACTATCCAAAAAACATGTTCTTCCAACCGATACCAGCTAAAGATAAAATCACTTTCACGAATAAAGAAGGTAAAAAGGAAACTGGTAACAAAATCAGGTTCAGAAATGGTTTCTGTCACGACGTTTTAACATCGGTCGATATTCAAGAAATAGTGAAAGCCGGTGGACCAATTATTAGGATATTAGATGGTATAGTTTACGAAGAAAATTTTAAAACTCCACCCTATAGAGATTATATTTTAATTTTGAGAGATTTAAGAAATAAATATAAACGAGAAGGTAATATCGTGGGTAGTAATTGCATGAAATTATTAGGTAATTCCTTGTATGGTAAATCAATTCAGAAAGACATATTCACAACTAGACATTTATGGAATGAAGCAACTTTACAGGCCAACTTTGATTCACGCGTTAAAACTTATGAGAAAATAAATGATACTCAATATATTGTTGAAACAGAAATTGAAGAAAAAGAGATTACTAACGAAGACAGTAAATCTACACGACTAACACCTAGTCATTTGGGATCATTCGTTTTATCTCACAGTAAAAAAATAATGAACAATTTCATTCACGTCATAAATGGATTTTATAAACCCGAAATATACTATACCGACACCGATAGTTTGTACATTTCATCCAAAAATTGGAAAAAACTAAACAGAGCTGGTTTGGTCTCCGAAAAAGACTATTGCAAAGGTAAAAACGATTACGGTGACGGTGGAATTATATTTGGTTTATATTTAGCACCAAAAGTCAAATACAACATCGTTTTGACTTCTGATGGTGTTTTAAAAGAAAAGAAAACGTTTAAAGGTTATTCTAATGATAAGATAAGTGTAGAAGATTACGTTCAGTTAGCAAGCGGACATGATGTGTCGAATGAATTTAATAAACCATGGGAAAAAAGTTTCACCAATGGAGTAGTTATTCCAAATGATAAACAAACTAAAGTTTTTAGAAGTTATTTGAATATTGTTAAAAGAAAACCATCAAACAGTGAAGGAATTATGTATCCTTACAACGACAAAGATGAGTATAGTTTTGACGAAAACTATGAATTTGATGATTTCGATTATCTTTCTAATCAAGAAGAGAATGAAGATTGTTTTAAATGAAGTTGAATGACAATTTCTTCGTTGCCAAAGTCTATGAACCTGTTTTTACCGTCTTTGATTTCCAGATTTATATCTTTGATCATGAAAGAATTGACTGGTAAATAGGTTGTTTGAAACAGTTTCTCTATAATTCTGTATCCTATCGGCACCTTAAAAGTCGGTATGCTGTATATGATTTGACGTTTGTGCTTGTTGAAAACTCCACCGTTGATCAAATTACAGTGAATGTTGATCACGTCGATATCGTTCTCGATGTTGGCCTTGTGCGGCGCCAATGTCGATTGCGCGTATATTCTACGAATATTCTACGAATTTTCTACGTTGAAATCGACTTGACTGTTATTTCTCAAGATCAGTTTTATTTTGTTCAGATTCAGATTACCTTCGAATTCGATATTGTTTTTGCCGTTCACGCTTCCTGCGTATTCGGATAGGTATTCTTTGATGGCTAGGTATTCGTAGCTCCCCGGTAGTAAGCTTATGGTTTCGAACGTAACTCCGTTATCCGTCGATATTTTTAGTTGATTGTTTTTTTCGTCGTTGTTTCTAATGGAATTGTAAAACGGAGAAATACTTTAATCCCAGTTCGTACTGTTTATTGCGATCGAGTTCATACTCGTAGTCTAGAGACAATTTGATGTCTGGTTTATTCGAGGTGATAACGAACAATTGTTCTTTATTGGACATTTTTAATGACGTTTATATAGTCTTTTTTAGTGATGATTTTTTTCTCCAAAAGCCGTTTTGATATGGCATTGACTTCGTTGTATTGTCTGTCCGATCGATGACCTTCTTTCATGGCCGCTAATATTATTTCTAATCTATTAAGCAATTCTTTATTGTCGTCGGATAAAAACGTTATGCCTTGTCCAGATGCCACCATATCATCGAATTCGTCTATTTCTTGTATGATTGGTGGATAATCTTCTGCATAATCATCTACCTCCTCTTCCTCAATAACTTTTGTTATATAAAAATCAACTTGTTTCGGGTCCTGACTTTCTGATCACATGTAGAAAATTTTGAGTATGCAACTAAATCCTTGTAAACGGCAATTTCAAAATCCTTGCCATTCATTAAATCTATTAACCCTCTCGTTAATGTAAATATAAAGTCTTTTGTGTCGATGTTGAATTGTGGTGAATTTCCACTAAATCTTATTCTAAAACCATTGAACAACAAACCCTCATCATCAACGATTGGTGAAATGCTCTTTGGTAAATCTGGGTCAGGGTTTGAAAAAAGACGTTTTATATCATCTAATGTCCTAATTATAATAGCATTATATTCAATCGGTTTGGGTTCTATATGAGGCGTGGGTTCTAAAGCTAATTTCTTTTTAATATCTTCTTGACTTTTTAATATGGGTTGAAATAGAGTCTGTAGATTTTCCGTTAATCCGAGTTGTTGTAATCTGTTATTTTCAACTTGGGTCTTTATTTTATTCTTAGCTTTGATATAATCTCTATTTCTTTTTAAAAAATTATTCCAATCCGTCATTTTTAAAAACATAAAATTAACATATATCGATCATAACTCTTTCTCCCGCAGGTTTTCTAGTATTTACAAATACATATCCATGATCATCTGGGTTTCTCCATGGAGCTTTACAAACCTTTTTAAATGTATCTCTGTCCATTCCGTGATTTATAGACTGAATGATTTGAGATAAATCTTTATCGTTTAATAAAAATAATAAAAAACAATTTGCATTTTTTCTAATGAACATAGAATCCATCCCGTAAAAGATTGGGATTGGTATATGCAGTGACAGTTGTGATGTCTTCCTTTGGTGAAGAATTCTTGTTGAACAGTTTGATTTCTTTGCGCTAAAAACAAAAGTCGTCAAACAATATTAAGTTCTTTCGATTGCTATCAATATTAGACAAGTCTAGATCATTAACATTTTTCGTAAGAAAAACTTTTATATCCGTTGGATTGAAAGATGGATTCTTTGATTTAATGAAGTTTTCTATGATATCTTTTATTTCCACCTCTTCTTCGTTTTCTTCGTAATATTGAAATATGTCTTGAACGTCTTTCTTTGGTAAATATTCCAAAGCTTTGAGGAATTGATAATACGATTGCTCTGGTGTTGTTGTGTAGATATACAGATAATCGAAATCTAAAAGGTTTGGTGTTGTCAACATGTTAAAAGTGAGATGAGTTTTCCCAGAACCTGAACTACCGCATATACACATGAGCATTGGGTTATTAGGAAATATTTCCGAATGATTAAATTTCTTGCCCATTTTTATTTATTACATTTTCGTACCAAAAATCACCCCGTTGCCTTTATACTTTGAAAGGAAGATTCCCTCGCCCGAACGTATGTTTTTAAAAAATATGGCGTCGCCC